CCAGGGCTGGACCTAGTCTCGCGCACGTAAAATTGGAGCGATCTTTTTTTTTGAAATTACCCACGAGATGTACGTGTAGAGTTCCACACAGTTCAGTTGGCCTTCTCGAGTCATGAGTTAATCAACAACAACATGGCATCCTCGGTCAAGTGGTTCGGTGCCAGCCCTCAGCCACTCCTCCGAGCGCTCGGACGCGGGGGGTTGCCGTGCGGGCCGGGCATCGATCCGTTGGTGTACTCGGCCACGGGGGTGAGCCCAGCCGCGGCGCAATCGAACGTGCGATTCGGGCCGGGCACAAGCCGCTGGTACCTGCGCTGCTCGACGCACGCGCCTGGCGCCGGCCCTTTGCACCTCTCAACGACGCGCCTGCTGTGGCTGAGCAGCGATTCCTCCGCCCACAAGCACCGACCTCTGCTTCGGCTGTACCAATTCTTATCGGGCAAATGGTGCACCAGGTGCGATGCTGCGCGCTCCACCGGAATGACCATGCTGCTCGCACCGCAGCTGTAGAGCTCCCCTGCCGCAAAGAGGCGCTCGCGCCCCCTGCTGTATCTTTCGACGTCGCAGGGACGCGTCATCAGTTGGTGGCACCGGCTCTGGATCGAGAGCAGCTGCTTACGGTTTGCGATCCACATGCCGTGGTGAACGGTTTCAGGCTGGTAGTAGAGCTCGCCGCCAAGGCGGAGCACGTGGAGCGACGCCGGAGCGTGCTCCCACACCACCCGTTCCGATCGTGCGCCATGCTGCAGCCTCCCCGCGTCGTAGGCAATCCCACCTCTCCCGTTGAGGGTGGGCCCAAAGAGGAGAGCGCGCTCGTAGCGCATGAATCCCACCATATATCTCCGCGTCGCCAGGCGCCGCGTCTCGCTGAGCCACGCAGAGAGGTGGGCGAGGGTGAGCCCGATGTCGTCCTCCGCATAGATGAACAGGTCGTGGGCATCGAGCCGGTCCCACATGAGTCTGCGGTGCTCGAGCGTCAGTGCCTTTTTCGTGGCGGGTGGTCGGACGGCGAGCTCGAGCTCGAGCGCGCCGTCCCGGTTCGCGCATGAAAGCGCGGCCTTGAGGTCGTCGAGGGGCGTGAGCAGCTCGGGGTGAGCGGTGAGAAGCACAACGCGCAGCCGAAACCCCGCCTCGCACATGTCACGCGCCCCGTCGAGCATCGTGCGTGTGTAGATGAGCTGCGAGTTGTCATACACGGCAATGCAGTACAGGATTCGCTCTCGGGCCGTGGCCGACATGGCTTGAAACGCTGGTTCCCCGGCGGCGGGCGCAATATACCGGGGCGTCGTTGAGAGAAAAGAAAAAAATACGGGTAGCCAACTCTCTCAGCGACCTTCATGCCACCTCGCGATCGTCCCTCCCTCAGATTCTCTCGCCGTTCTCTCTCCTGCAGCCCGGCGGCGCCATCTCTGGCTAAAAAAGAAAGAAAGAAAGAAAACAGACAACCCAAGGGAGGGATGCGGATGGGAGGACGGCACGCCGCCACCACACAGGGATTTTAAGGAGAGGGGTGTGATGCGCTAGCCGTCGCCCACCCTAGGGAGTCTGCCTCTTCCTATCTCTTTTCGCAGTCTCTCGCCGCTTCTCGCTGCAACCTTCATGCCACCTCGCGGCCGTCCCACTCTCGTCGTTCTCTCCCTTGTCACTTCCTCCTCTGTCGCGTCATTCTCTTCTGCCTCGTCCTGCGCCGCCGCCGCCTGCCGTTCCCTTGTTCTCTCGGCTTCTTTCGCCTTTCGGCGCAGCTCCGCCCTCCTTGCTGCATATCCTGGCCCCTCGAGTCTATCGAGCTCCCCTCGCGCAAGGACCACATTTCTGACTCCCACTCCGATCATTTGCCTCCAGGTCATGTTGTTGCTCAGGTCCACTGGCTAAACGTACTCGAGCACTCGCCGGGCGATTTTTTCCTGCTGGAACGAGGCAGGCAGCACACGAGGCAGCCAACAGGCAGCCAACACGGCACCTCGTCTCAACATCCTCGACCCCACCTCCCTCTCTCGAGCCATGAGCATAAAGCAACGCGCGCTCACCATCCCGCGGCCTCAACACGCTCTGCCAGCTCGCTGACGACGGCGCACATGGCCGTCATCGCTGGTCCGCTTCGCTTGAAAGACAGCCCGCCCCGCATGCCCGCGCGACCGCCCGTGGGCCGGCACTCTGTCCCGTGAGGCAGCACAATCTCTAAGAAGCCCTGAGCCGCACGGCGGTGGTGACACCTTCGGCCTGAGGACAAAGGAGTGTCGCCCGCGTGCCCGCACCACCGCGCCAGCCGGTGAGGACTCCACACACCACAAACGATAGGAAGAGCAGTCGGAACTCCCTTGGCGAGCCCGGACTCTGAGGCTGGCCGGCGTCCCCCCTGCCCCGAAGCAAACGCTGCCGCCCACCCGTTGCGCATTCCGCTAGCAACCCACTCGCATGCCACGCATCTCCCGTCGCAGGAGCTTTGAGCCGGCGCCGAGTGGCCGCCGAAAAAGAGCAGCCGAGACGGCGCGCGCCCGCTGCCTCCTCCGCCCGCCTCTCCGCCCACACCCGAGGAAGACAAGAAAAACTGCGCTTGGACTGAGCAAACGCATGCTGCCACCTGTTTTTTCTTCACTTTGACCTGAGGGTGTCTCTGTTTCTCCTCTCGCCCCCTCCTTCACCGGGCTCTCCACTCTTTGACCCGCCCGGCCGCCCCAATGCAACCGCAGGCGCTCGAACGCACGCCAAGCACACGAGCCCGGTCAGAGAGCCGCATGGCACGTCACTCGAATGGACTCACGGTGCACAGCTGTCCGCTGGTCTGAGACGCCCACGAATGAGGAGCATTTGTGTCTCAACGTGTGTCTCAATTACTCTAGTGGCCACCAGAGTGGTGAGTGTGTGTGTGTTCGAAACTGTTTGACTAACTCTCTCCGCTCCCGCGCGGGGGGGGGGTTCCCCCATCACCGGCACCGCCGCGCGCGCATAAATAAATAAATAACACGGACACCTCTACTAGGAGATGGGTAAAAAGGAACAGGTCCCCGCCCTGCGGTCTTTGTGCAGGGTTCTTTGTGGGTGTGGTCGGCGACTAGCCGGGGTCGTCCTCCCGATGGGGGACTAGCACTAGCCGTCTTCCACATGGTCCCTCGGGTCCCTGCTGCTCCTAATCTCGTCGTACATCCTCCTGCTGATCTCAGCAACATCCTGCTCCCTCCCTCGTCTCGCCCTGCGCGTCTGCTCCGCCTCCCCGTCGTCTGCCCTGCGTCGTCTGGTGACGGGTCCTCCGTAGTCGGTCGAGGTCGCCGCCCTCCTCGTGCCTCTTCCCAACGTTTCCTCGGCGGCCGATGCCGTCTGCTCCGACTCCGCCGTCCCCGGGTCTGCCCTGCCCTCGTCTGCGCTAGCTTCTGTTTCGTCATCACCGATGTCCGTCCTCTTCTTTCTCCTCTTCTTGTATGCTTTGTACATCGCGTCGATTCCTTTTCGCGTGAGCACCAGCCTGAAGCCCGCCCAGCAGCTGAACCGCTCCCTAAGTCGAAGGAGCATCATCAGTCTCACCCACTTCGCTCGCTGCCCACCGTCTCCGCTCCCTCCCGCTTGAGCCGCCGTCGCGGCCCTCGTTCGTCCCACTGGCTGCTGGCCTGTCTGCACGTTACCTCCGTTATCCCTCCTCCTCCGCGACTCCCTCAAGGCCGGCGAGCCTCCTTCCACCCAGTGAAGAGCTTCCTCAGCCACTCGATGTGTTCCTCTCTCTTCATTATCGCGCAGGCCGCACAGCCCTCCACTCATATACACGTTACATCGTTACACACAATTCACATCGCGCGGGAGCCGGGACGCGCCGCGCGGAGCCGGAGGCCGGTCGTGCAACATGCCCGTGTTGCGTGGGATATGTGTATGTGGGCAGCGCACACCGCCGACCCCTCTGTGCCCTGAGTGAGAGTTTGCTGAGTGGTGAGTGTGAGAGGTCAGACCTCAGATTAGGCTGAGAGTCGCGGAGCGCCGAGCCTGCACTGCGTTCTGCCGCTCTCCGACTCCGTCAACCCCAGGACCCCGGCACCCCGCGCGCACAACCGCCCAGCGCCCCGCTGCCCGCACACGGTGCCGCTGGCGCTGCCGCTTGGAGCTGAGCAAAGACTCAGCCGGTGTACGGTGCGGCGGACGCTCTCTCCTCCTCCCGCCTCTCTACGACGGTCCAGACCCGGCCTTTGCGGCCGGGCCGCCCGTCACGAGCGCCGCGAGTGCCGCAACGACCGCGTAAGCTGAGCCGCGGCTTCCCTTGCGGTGCGAGTGCGTGACGCCGGCGGCCAGGGCGGAGAAGACGCGGGCGGGCGGGCGTCCGCTCATGTCTGTCACCGGGCTCGCTAGTTCCGCCCGGAGCACGGACTTTTGCACGCCGTCAAGCGCGAGGGCGTTGCCGACCACGCCGTTGCCTGAGCCGACGCCATCAGCCTCCGTCGAGGGCGCCGCGGGCGAGAATCGGCCGGGGAAGGCGCCCCAGGTGCCCTCAGGGAAGAGGTAGTTGAAAGCGGACCACAGATTGACTGCCACCGCGCCATACTGGAGCGGAGCGACGAGGCTGCGGTCTAGCTGCTCTTGCGCGATCGTCGACGGCACGAGTAGGACGCACGAAAGCGAGCCAAAGATGTGCTCGTTGCAGAGCCGCGCCGACGCATCCATGTAGCTGGTCGGAGACGCGCTAGGCAGGGACAGCACCACCAGCAGCGGTCCAAACGCCTCCTCTCTCAGCACTGCGCCGCGCTCGCGCACCCACGGAGCCAGTGTGGCGTCCGCAGCAGGCGCCTCTCCGAGAGCGACCAGAGCAAAGTCGTGGCCTGCCGACGTCGGGATCCGTTCGACGCTTGCCCCGGAGCAGGCCTCGGCAGCCCTAGCGGCCGCATCGGCGCGTTGGAAGCTCCCCGGGTAGTAGGGAGGGATGGCGGGTAGCTCTGATAGCGCCCCACGCAGTGCGGCCAAGAAGGCGTCGGTGTGTCCCCAGCCGCTGGGGAGTATCACAACCTGCGGCGAGTTGCAGTTGTGGCCGCCGTTGTCGAGCTTGACCGCGGCGAGGTTGCGCGCCGCGAAACTCACTGAGGCGTTGTTCCAGCCCGGCGTTTCGGCAGACGGTTCGTCGGGAATGAAGATCCACGGGGTCACGCAGCCGAGCTCGCTGCTGAGACTGTCCTGCCTGCCGACAGCCCGCTGCGCGGCAGCCACGGCGAGATGCGTGCCTGCGCCACCCGTCACGGCAACATGCCCCACGAGCGGGTGCTGCACCATGCCCCGGATTTGGGCCACGTCGCCCGGGTCCATAATCTGGGCGAAGCAGCCTCGCGCCAAGAGCGGAGCAAAGATGTGCGCCGCCGGGGCAGACAGAAAGGGGCGGAGTGGGTGGTGCTTGAGCAGGACGCACTCGCCGTGACAAAAGAGGCGCTGCACACAATCGCGCAGCCCAAGGAAGTCGGTGTTGCCGGCGCCGAGCACGAGACAGACCTCGGCGCCCGAGCAGCCATCTCCAGGCGAGGCGGCGGCAGGGACGCCGGTTTTGCTGCACCAGATTTCACCCGTGACGCCGGGCAGCGTGGGGAGCGGAGTCGGGAAGCTGTGCACTACGGAGCCGTCAGCGCGCGTCGCCGCGTCTCCTTGGGCCTCGTCGTCGCGCTCGAGTGTGCGGGCGATGGAGAGGAGCGAGCCGTGGAGGGCCGACACGAAGAGGTAGTGCTTCTTGGAGGCGTCAACCGACTCCGTGGAGCCCTCGAGCGCCATCGAATCGCGAAGCCAGCCAGGGTCAATCGATGCAAACATTGCGCAGCACTCGCGCGCCACGGCGGCGCGCTCCGCCCCCGGCATTGCCCGCCATGCGACCGCGTTTGCGCTCAGAGACTGCAGCAGCTTCTCGGTGCGTGCCGGTGGCGATGTGGTTGCCACGGGCGTTGCCGCTCGCCGGAACTGCCCTCGTCTCAGGTGCGGTGCAATGCAGAGACTGGCGAGGAGGAATGCGCCATACATGCCGGGTGGCGGGACGCAGCGCGCACTTTAGCGATGAACACGTCCACAGACCGAGAGATGAATTTTAGTGTTATGCGAGAGAAGAAAGGAAGAAAAAATGCGTGAACGCTGCATGAACGTGTGCGCACGCACACATGCCACGCTCGATTGAGCCGCGAGGCGTCTGGCAGCCCACCTACCTACCTTGTGACCTGGGGCGTGGGGGTAGCGGTGGGTGGGCGATCACGCCGTCCGGACGCTCTCGTACTCTAGGACGACTCCGGCCGGGCCGGCGCGTCGCGCGTGCCACGTGCAAAGACATTGAAAGTACATGAACAGCGCGCCCGCAAAGAGCGCAATTATTGCTTGAGTTGCAATTATAAGCTGTTTCAAACAACAGATGATTAATGATCGAATTTACCAGATACCAGCTCCACACGCCGCCGCTAGTAGGTAGGCGCTGTGCGTGCGTGCGTTGTGTGTGTGTGTGCGTTGCGGCACCTCAACTTGTAGCGAGCAAGAGGGGCGGCGCCGGCTAGTTAGGCCACGACACAGATCGGCACATGACGCATGTGCAGTGCAGGCCCCATGTCGCCATCATCATGGCCAGCCTCGCCCAACTAGCAGCAGCGAGGCCTGACCATGTGTACATTATGACACGGCATCTATGCGCGCTCGCCCCCTTCGCCAGCGCCCACCCTTCCCCCCACGCGCGCAACCGGGCGTGGCGGCAGGAGGAAGCGGCGCATGCGCGCGCACCGGCGTGCGGTCGCCTCACTGGTCCCGGGCGCGCTGCTTGCCTTTCGCCTTCTCGGTGAGGGGCGTGGTGGCTGCCGGCGCGGGCCCCACACTCCGCACAAAGATTTTTTCGTAGCACGCGTCAATCTGCGCAGCGAGGCCGAGCACCACCGTGCGGTCGACTTCGAGCATGGGGCACACCTTCTCCGCCACCTCGGACACTGTGCCCGCTGCCAGCCCGATCTTAAACGCGACTGCGTCCGACTTATCGCGCGTCGTCGAGGGCTTGGAGGAGGCCGCGCCCGAGGTCCGGCCCGCGTGCGGCGCCTCATCGGGCTCGACCAAGTCCGGCAGGTCGTCCGAGTCAGACACGTGTTCCTCCTCCCACACTGCGTTTACTGCTCGCGTCACGGTGCCGTGCCTTTTGAGCAGCGCCTCGCACGAGGAGCGGACGAGCTGCGGCAGTATCCCATGCAGTGTCGCAACATTCGCCTCGGTGACGGCCGACTCGTACGAGAACGAGCGCCTCATGTCATACGTGCCAAAGGCAAGCGAGGATGGCGAGGATGGCGAGCGGGCTTTAAGGCGGAGGCGGGCGGATGTGAAGAATGAATGTGGACCGAGCCGAGGCCCGGGACTCTCGTCGTCGACGGGCTCACGGCGGCGAGGGAGAAGGAAGCCCGGCTGGAAGCCGTGCGGGAACGGCTCACGTGGCGCCATGGGAGTCTCTTGCAGCGCCTCCTCGAAGACCTCGCTCTGTCTGACGAGCCCGGGAGGCGCGTGGGTGAAGCAAGGCTCCGCCATGACTGGCTGCCGCGGCCCCGGCTGCGGCGGCGGCGAGGCGGCCACCTTGGTGAGCTTGGTCGTGTTCGCCGCGAGCCGAGCCTTCTCCTTGGCCTCCGCCAGCTGATCCTTCTCCTTTGCCGCTGCCGCATCCTGAAGGAACAGGGAGAAGGGGAGTGAGCGTTTGCTGGAAAAGCGCCTGACCGCTCGAGCTGCTCTGTGGGCCTCGATGCGCTGCCGCAGCTTCTCCTCCTCCACCTCGCGGATCCGATCCTGCAGCAGCGCGTCCTCCTCCATCTCGCGCCGCTGCTTCTCGCGCGCATTCTCCTTCTTGGGCCGCCGCTTGTCGGCGAGCTTGCGCGGAGTCTCAGTGGTGGCTTCGCCCGCCTCTGCTGCCGCCGCCACCGCCGCCGCCATCACCTTTGCCGCCTTGTTTGCCGGTGCGGCCTCGGCGACAGCCTTCTCTGGGGGAGGCTTTGCCGCCGCCTACAGTAACGTGAGACGAGATTGGGTGCTGCCCGGCGCCAAGGCCCGACAGGTGCGCGACTGCCACCTCTTTGTAAGGCTTCTCGATGCGCCCGGGCGGCACCGCCGAGCCGCACGGCAGCGCGAGTCCGTCCTTGATGGTCTGCGGCGAGGCAGCCATCGTGTGCGGCTGGGCCTTGGCCATGCCAGGCCGCCCGGCCGCCAGCCGAGCCTTCTCCTTCTTCTCCTCCTTCTGCTTCTCCTTCTTCGCCACCGCCTCCTTGGAGAGGACCGCCGCTTGCACCGCCGCCTGCTCTTGGCGATTCTTCTCCGCCGCTGCCTCTGCCGCCTCAGCCTCCTCAGCCACCCTCGCCGCCTCTGCCGCGGCGGCCTCCTCCGCCGCTACCCTCGCCGCCTCTGCCGCGGCGGCCTCGGCCGCAGCCTGCTCCGCCTACAGCGGCCCGACACCACACGGTGAGACGAGAGTGGCGACGCGTCTTCACCTTTTTGACTCGTAGACGTGCCTTGGCCGCAGCCTCCTCCGCAGCCAAGCGCTCCGCCGCCTCCGCCGCCGCCTTCTCCGCCTCGATCCGAGCCGTCTCAGCGGCGCGAGCAGCTTCGGCCGCGGCCCTCTCCTCCTCCTCGATCTTTGCCGCCAGCGCCTCTTTGGCCGTCTCCAAGCGAGTACGCCACGGGCCGCCGCCGCCACGGTGCGCCGCCTCCTCCGCCGCCAGCGCCGCCGCGTCGCCCGCTCTCCGAGGAAAATGCTGCCCAGACATGCGCCCGAAAGGGCTCTTGCTTGAGGACCGTGATCGGTGTCGAAAGGCGGGCAGGGCAATTTGCGCAGAAGAATTAGGAGGTGCATGTAAGTGGGGCGGGTTTGCTGCTGCGGGGTCCCCCGCTGTCTCGCCCGGGGTCGTGCGAGGGGTGGGCACGACCAGTAGGGACCCCCTGCCCCGGGCCCCGCTCTCAGTTGGGGCCTCCGCGGCCGAGTGGGAGAATGAAATCATTTGAAATGACATTTCCTGCAGCCGACGCGTGGCCAGCGGCAGCGCTGCCTGTGTTCTCCTTTCACAGCTTGTTTCCTCCCTCTCTCTGTCTTCTTCCACTCCTTACTCCGGTAACGTACACACCTTGAGTGTGTGTGTGTGGACCACACAAACATGTCAGTACTCTGACTCATCGCCTCTCGCCACATAAAACGGCTCACTCTCGCCGCACGCGCGCGCGAGAAGCGAGAGCTCAAAACGCCTCGCGTCTCGACTGCCACCGCACTTTCGTGCGCAAGCGGCCCCGAGAGCGGCGGTCGCCGCCGCACGCGTCCTCCCGGTGCTACTTGGCAAGGTGGCGCTGGACCAGCATCTTGAGCAGCCGATTCTCGCGGAGCATCTTGTCCGCCATCGGCGTGCCTAGTGCCGTGTCCAAGCTCGCGTGACGGACGTGACACGGACTGCAAGCGCCCTCATGCTCGGCGGGCGTGCCCAGCGTCGGCGAGGTCTGGTTTCGTCGCAGCCACTCGGCGATCGCCTTGCGCTCGTACGTCTCGCCGTCGGCGGCGACCACCGGATCCACCATCACCTGGCGGCGTGGGTGGAGGGGCAGGAGCGCTGGAGCGGCGGGCGAGGGGCTGCGCCGCGAGAGGGAGCTCGTGCCTCGTTGGGGCAGAGGTACCCGCCGGGCACCTCTATTGCGACCACTGCGACTACGACTGTGTTGTCTGACGCACCTCGTGCGTGATTGGGCAGAGGAACTCTCCGGGCACGTCCGGCTCGATCTTCTCGAGCGCCGAGCGCATCTCCTCGAAGCGCGGCACCAGGGCGCTGACCTCGGCGCGCCGCATCTTCTTCTCGAGGCACGCGAGCACGATCCCGTACAGGGTGGCCACCTAGAGACAGGGGGGGAGGGGCGAGGGCGGGGTTACGACGCGCCGCCCGGGGTCGCGGGCCGCGCGGCGCAGGGGTGTTTGGCGGAGCTCGGCGGGGGCGGGGCTGCGGCAGAGGGGCGACACCTCGCGGTGGAAGGGGCGCCACGTCTCGCCCTCGGCGCCGTCGTTCGGGTCCGCGCGGCTGCGCAGCGGCGCCGGGTCGTCCTCGTCCAGAAAGGCGTCCTCGGCGAGCTCGAGCAGCGTGGAGAAGGACTCGGTCGGCCGCTCCGCCGCTCGGCCGGTGACCGTCTCGAGGATTGTCAGGCCGAGCGCATACGAGTCCACCTTGGTCGTCGGCGCGCCGCCGCGCAAGTACTCTGGCGCCTTGAAGATGAGGGCCGACTCGTCCTCGCTCTCCTTGTACGACTCGAACGCGCGCGCGACGCAACCGTCTCGGATCTTGGCGCCGCCGGAGCGGTCGAGCAGGATGTTGGACGGGCGCACGTGGCGGTGGACCACGCCGAGGTCGTGCAGGAAGGCGAGGCCGCGCACGGCGTCGCAGAGGGCAAGCAGCCGCGCCTACAGGAAAGTTCCAGGAGAGGTCCAGGCAAGGTCCGAGAACGAGAAGGCGTCGCAAGAGGGCAAGCCGCGCCGACGCCGAGAGCGGCGCCGCACGGAGCCGCTGCCCGAGCGATCCGCCGTCCATGTACGCGTAGACGACGCACGCGGTGGGGCCGTCCGAGGTGAGGCCGAGGAGCTGCACGATGTTCGGGTGGCTCACGTTGGAGCGCATCATCTCGTCGAGCTCCGCCTGCCACGCCTGGCCTGAGACGGTGCGCACGCGCTGCACGGCGATCGGGGTGCCGCTCGGGAGGACGCCGCGGTACGTCTCGCACGTCTCGCGCTGCCCGAGCCGCACGGCCGGGCTCCACCCCTTGCACGCCGCGGTGAGCGACGCGATCGTGAAGGCGCCCGACCCCACGGCGGGCGCGGCAGCCACCGAGGGGGCGGGCGACGAGTACAGGGACGCGTCCGGCTCGGAGTGCGGCAGGCCAGGCGGAGGCAGGCCTGGCGGCCGCTCGCCAGCCGGGTGCGGTGCCGGAGGGCGTGGCGGCGGCGTGACGGTCTTTGGAGGGCGCGCCGGCGCCACTGGCTCGACGCTGGCCGGCCTCGGCGGCCCCTCTGCAGCCGGCACCCACGGGGTGGGCCCCCTCTCCGGCGCCGAGACGACCGAGGAGGAGGTCGACGGCGTCGGCGACGCGGCGCGAATCAGCTCGACTGTCCCGCCGCCAGCCGCGCCCACCGCCACCGCCGCCGCCTCCTCGGCGGCAACCTCGTCGGGGAGCAGGAGCTGCCTCGCGAGCGTCACCTGCTCGGCGAGCGAGCCGTGGCCTTCCTCGCCGAGGATGGCGTTCATCTGCTCGATCGCGCCCTTTGCCCACGCGAGCAGCGGCCCCTCCCCGGCCGGCTCGAGGCCGAGGATGTCGGCCAAATGCTTGACCTGCTCAAAGTCGAGCCCGGCCTGCTCGTCCGCCCCGTCGGCCTTCCGCGTCTCCGCGGGCGCGGGCGGCGGCGCGCGCGCCGCGTTGAGCGACGGCCAGTTGCCGTTCTCCGCCTTGGCCTGCTTGTAGTCGTCCGGCTGCACCGCCGCCGCGGGCTCGGGAGGCGGCGGCGGAGGAGGCGGCGGCGGCGGCGGCGGTGCGGGCGATGGCGCACGCGCGGGCGACGGCGAGCGCGCACGAGCGGGGACCCCCTCGGCTCGACCCTCGGCGGCAGCCACGGCCTTGACTGCGAGCGCGAGACGGCGCTTTTGCTCCGGGTCGTCGCTCCAGAGCAGCTCGCCAAACCACTTGACGATCGTCACGATGGCGTTGTCGACGCTCGAGGCGCTCGCGCCCTGGATCTCGACAATCTGCACCTGGGAGGGGCCCGCCTTTGGGTCGGCGTTCGAGATCTGGATCTTGGTGCCCGTGTGGTCCATGAGCTTCCGGTGCGTCTCGCCCCTCTTGCCCAAGAAGTAGCCGACGCTGTCGCTCCTGATGTTGAAGACGCCCCAGTGCTTGGGGTGCCTCCCGCCTGCCGCGATGGTCGGCGCGACCGGCTGCGGCTGCTGCGGCGGAGGCTTCGGCGGAGGCTGCTGCGCTGGTGGCTTTGGTGGAGGCTGCTGCGCCGGCGGCTTTGGCGGCGGTTGCGGCGCCGGCGGCGGCCGCGGAGGCGCTGGCGGCTTGGCCTCGCGCTTCTTCGTCTCCGCCTTCTCCCACTTGGTGGGCGAGGCACTCCCGACCAGCATCGCCAGCGCCAGCTCGGCCTGTTCCTTGAGGGTGCCCGACGGGTCGATCTCGAGCATCGAGTTGGCCTGCATGACGACGAACCCCGGCTCCGTCTCGCCGGGAGGCAGGTCGAGCAGCCCAGCCAGCTCCGCGACGATGGCGTGGCTCGGCAAGTCATCGCCCGCCTCGGGCGTCGCCGGCGCGACGGCCTCCGGCTCCACCGGACCGGCCTCGTCGCTCGTTGCAGCCGCCGCCGCGCCCGCGCCCGCCTCTGCGTCGCCCTCTCCTCCCTCCTCGCCCTCCTCCTCCATACTGATGCCGAGCATCCGGATGCACGCCTTGACCTGCTCGGCGAGAGAGCCCTGCTTGGCGTCCTCGCTGATGCCGAGCAGGTCGCCCGCCTGGCTCACGATGCTCTGCGTCCAAACGTGGAGCGTCTCCGCGTTGGCCGCCTCGCTGCCGTCGAGCGGCGGGCACTCTTCGAGCCCGAGGGTGTTTGCGACCTGGTTGAGCGCGCCCACCCTCGCAAGCTCCTTCGCGTGCTGTTGCTGCTGGGCCTGCTGCTGTTGCTTCGCCTTGGTGGCCGCCACGCCCTTCCTCTTCACCGGCGCGGCGGCCGGCGCCCGCTCCTTGGCCGCCTGCGCCTGCGCCGCCTGCGCCTGCGCCGCCCTCGCGCGCATCCTCGCCTGCGCCTCCGCCTCGGCCTCCGCCTGGGCCACGGCCTCAGCGCGCGCGCGCGCCGCCGTGACCGCCGGGTCGACGGCCCGCGTATCCTGCACGGCGGCCGTCTCGGACCAGTCGTCGCCCGCCTCGCGGCGCCGCTGCGCCTTCTTTGCCGCCGCCTGGATCGCCGCCTCCTTGTCCCCCTGCGCCTTTTCCTTTCGCTGCAGCTCGTCGGCCAGCCTGTGGTACTCGTCCTTGAACTGCGCCAGCATGTTGGCGATCGTCGCGCGCATGGCGTGCTCCTCCGAGTCGGGGAAGAGGCCGCCCTCGGGCAGCAGCCGCTTCGTCGCGGCGAGCTCCGTGACGTACTCCTTGACCATCTTTGCCGCGGCGCGCGCGTTGACGGACGACTCCCTCGCCTGCTCACGCAGGTCTGCACACCGGCGCCGCCACGGGTCGCGGGTCTCGTAGAGGCCTCGCCGCCGGCCCTCGATCTTCTCGAGGCGGCCGGCGAAGCTGCCGATCGTCGCCGCCATCTCCTTGAGCTCGTCGCGCTCCGCCTCCGCCAGGCGGCGCCCCTGGTGCGAGAACTGGAAGCCGCGCATCAGCGACTCGGCGCTCTTGAGCTCCTCGAGGGTCGGCTCGGCGCGCGGGTGGATGAGCCGCTTGACCTCGGCGATGGCCTTCGTCTTGGCGGCCATGAACTTCTCGAGCTCGACCTCGCGGTCGTCGCGCTTCAGGTCGAGGATGACCTCGGTCGGCGCCGACCAGTCCGACTCCCACGCCGGCCTGCCGGTCGCCGTGTCCTCGGGCGCCACCGCCTTGACTCGGAAGAGGTGGAGGGTGATGTAGTTGGCGTCGCTGTCCTTGAGGCCGTCCACGAGGTGGAAGGTCTTCGGGCCCGCGTAGATCTCGCTCCACTTCGGGGAGCGGTGGCCGACCACCGTGCCGTGCTGGAGCTTGTAATAGGCTCGCTGCGCGAGCAACACCTGGCCGAGCTTGTCTTTCCACTGCGCCTGCACGACGCCAAAGTCCTCCGCGCCAGGGTTGAGCTGCGTGAGCGTGAGGCGCGGCATCTCCTTGAAGGAGGAGACGCGGTCCTCCAGCGCGCGGTGCTCGCGCTTCGGCGCCGACCCCGGCTGCCGCGCGCCCCCGCCCGCCTCGAGGTGCGCGCGCGGGTCGGACGGGTCGTACGCCGCCTGCTGCACCTTCGCCTTCTTGCCGGCCTTGCCGCCCTTGGCGGACCCTTTCGCGCCCTCGCCCGCCTTGCGCGCCGCCTCGATGCGCTGCTGCGGCGTCAGCTGCAGCTCCTCCCACTTCTCCCACCGCGCGAGGAAGGCCTCGTGGTTGCGCTGCTCGAGGTACAGCTGCAGCGTGCCTTGGTCGCCCAGCATGCGGTGCATGACCTGCGTCAGCTGCCAGTGGTCGTCCATGTTGTTGCCGCGCTGGGGGTGCTGCACCTTGGACAGCTGGCGGAACTGCTTGCGCACGTCGCCCGAGTTGGCCGAGTCGTGCAGGCCGAGCCACATGAAGGCGGGCAGCGGCTGCAGGCACAGGTCGTGCACGGACAGCCGCACCGTCACGCCCTCCTTGCTCTCCTTTCGGCAGCACGCGATGCAGTTGGGGTGCACCTCGGCGTCGAAGACGTCGATCCACTGGCAGAGCCCGTGGATGCCGTCCCCCTTCCTGCGCGACGGGCTCAGGTCCTGGCACAGCTGGCACGTGTAGAGAGCGCCCGTCTCGAGCGCGAGCGCCAGCTGCTCAAACACGCTATCCGTCGTCAGCTGCAGCCGCTCGCCGATGGCCTGCGCCTCGGCGGCGTTGTCCTCCGCCGCCTCGGAGTCGCGCATCATCGCCGCGAAGACCGCGCCCTCGTGGTTGGACGGGTTGAGCGTCATCGCCCGCTGCAGCACCGCCATCTTCATCGAGGTGAGCGGCGCGAGGGCGGTGACCACGTCCTGGCTCCACTTGGCCACTATCGGCCGCACTGCCTCCACCACCGCGTCGGCGAGCGCGCGGTCCGAGGCCGAGTCGCGCGAGGCCTCCATCCTCTCCCGTATCGCGTCGCGCTGCGACTTTGCGAGGTCGCGCATCGTTTTGGACGTGTCGTACTCCTGGCCGCGGATCCGCATTTTCTTGGACACGAGGTCGTCCCAGTGCTTGACCGTCTTGATGCAGCCGTCGAGCTTCTTCTCCTCTTTTTGCAGCTCCTTCTCGTGCTTCTGCATGAGGCTCTCGAGCGCGCGCCGCTCCTTCTTCCTCCCCTGCTGCTTCAGCTGCTCCTTCACCGCGCGGATCTCGCCCTGGTACTCCTTGATCTTTGCGTGGTGCTTCTCCTGCTGGTCGTACTCTTGCTTGCGCTCCGCCGCGTCCTGGAAGATCATCTCCGCCGTCTTGAGCTGGTCCTCCAGCCGCTTGAGCTCCGCGTCCCCTAGGTTCCCCGCCGTGCCGCGCACCGCCTTGCGCACCACAATCAGCAGCTTTGCGCGCAGCCGCGCGAGGATGTTTGCCGCGCCCAGCCGGTAGTAGCCGGCGCCGCGCTCGGACCCTGGGTGCAGGGGACCCCTGTACTCGTACCCGTCGCGCTCGCCAGCCTCCTCGATCGAGGCGACGAAGTCGCCCTTCCCGTCGTCCAGCAGCTCCCCGATCTCCTCCATCGTCGGCGTCTCGCCCTCGTTCACCGCCAGGAGCAGCTCGTGCTCCAGCTTTGGGTACTCGTCGGCCAGCTTCTCCCAAATCTGATTGTGGATGGCGTTGGCGGCGATGGGGTCGCTCATCCTGGCCTCCAGCAGCGCCTCGGCGGCTCGGAGGAGGGCCACGATTGGCGTGCGGTTGACGAGGAGCATCGTGTTCATGGCCGCGAGGGGGTCGCCGCCCGAGAACTGCGTCGCGATCGGCTTCAGACGCTGAAAGAGCACCTTGACGGCGATCGTGGTGTCGGACCGGGCGGCCGGGTCCGCGCCAATGGCCACGCAGAATTGCCTGCAGTAGGCGTCGACGAGATCGTTCGGCGAGCCCCTCTTCCGCGTCGAGCGCTGCTGCTCGCCGGTGTGGACGCGTTCGCACTCAAAGGCCACCGAATCGCCGTCGCGGTCCACGTTCTTGACCTTGACGTAGCCGGTGAGCTTGATGCCCTCCTCTGAGGTCATGTCGATCGTCCGCTGCAGGGTGCCGACATATTTGCTGTACAGTAGCTGCGGGTCCATATCGTTTGCGGCCTTGGAGCGAGCGGCTCCCCGCTCTCTAGCTTCCGCGCCTGAAGCCGGATTTCTTTTTCCTTGGTTTAAGACTGGCTTGTGTAGGAGGCCCTGGCAAGTTGATGACGAAGTGATTCTCACGGCTCAAAAAGGGTCGAGAGGGGGCAGACACACACGAGAGGTGGTCACGAGGGCTACACAGAGAGAGAGGAGGACGGCAGGGCGTCCAGGGCGCATGCTCCATGCCACGGGGCGACGCTCGCCCCGCGCTCGCCCCGCAAACCCGTTAGGTGTGATGCTCCATGCTGGTACGGTCCGGGGTGGAGGGCGGGGGCGGAGGGCGCAGCGTCGTGTAGTAGATGTCGTCCCTCTCCGCCGGGCGCGACGGCGGGCGCAAGCTGTTGGGTGGGGGAGGCGAGGGGCGCCGGGGGGATAGGGAGAGCCCGGCTGAGCCGCGCGTGCCCAACCACGGCCCCACGCGGCCAACGCCGCCGCTACAGGGGTGGGCGGGCGCGGCGCGGGGCGGCTAGCCCTGCGCCGACTTTGCCAGTGGCGGGCGCGGCAGCGGCCTGCTGCGACCAGTGAATGCGACGGCCTGCATGCGCGAGCTGATGCGCTGCAGCGCCGCCTTCTCGCCGGTGAGGCGGCTGAGCTCTTCTCGCAGCTGCTCCATCCGCCCCTCACGCGGCTGGTTCCCCGGCTCGAAGCCAAGCCCGCCCGCCTCGCCGAGCTCGAGCATCGAGCGGCGCAGGTAGGCGGGCAGGTTCTGGCAAAAGGGCATCAGAAAGAAGGAGTTGAGTTTGAGCGAGATCATGCGGCAGAACTCCTGCGCCAGCGGCGGGAGCCGGTGAGAGGAGAGGGCGAGAGGGCCGACCGCTCGTGCGGCGCCCGTAGGCGCGAGCGCGTGCGGCGACGCGCCTGCCTCCACGCAGAGATGATCTCCGACACGAGAGCCGACATGAGCGACCGCATCTGCTCCGTCACGCGGCGCGAGGTGAGCACCTCGGTGAAGGAGGCGACGAGCTCCTGCTCGGACGGAGCAGGGGCGTGAGAGGCCCTCACTCACAGCCCGCCGCCCCCCCTCGGCAACACCGCGCGCTCCTCATACGACTCGAACGCGGGCGCGCCGCCGCTGCCCCCCCCCTGCTGCTGCTGCTGCTGCTGCTGCCGCCCCGACGGCACGAGAGCCTTGCGGCCAGCGGCGCCGTCGCGCCTCCGGCTGCGCAAGTGGGCGGCGACGGGCTGCACGAAGACGTTGTAGAGCGACTCCTTGGTCGCCGACGACGAGTCCCACACAACGTACTTTGTGATCGCCTCGACGTCATACATGCACTTGCGCATGCACGACTCCATCGCCTTGTCGACAAAGCCGACGTACAGCGGCGCCACCGCCCCCATCATCCGCCGGTGCTGCTCGCGGCTCAGCCCAAGCCCCGCCGTCTCCGCGAGTCCGTCGGCCGCGTCCTGCGGGTCGACGTATGGAAGCTCCTGCGGGGGGAGGCACGGCAGCGGACGTGTCGTGGGCGCGCCGCGGAGGCGACCCGCGGCTCGGCGGCGGCTCCTCTGCGCTGAGCATCGAGTCGACCTGGCCGGTCATGCGGTGCATGACGTGGAGCAGCCGCAGCCGGAGGAGGGCGAGATGCTGCTCGAAGTAGCCGCGCGCCTGAGGGCGGGAGGGAGGGAGGGCGGGAGGCGTGCCGTGAGCCTTGGGCCCTGGCTGGCTATCGTCTGGCTGCGTCGCATGCAAGAGGCGCGGCGGGCAGGGAGGAGGGCGAGGGCGGGGAGGAGGGCGAGGGCGCGGTGCGGGGGCGACGGTGCGGGGGGACGGTGCGGGGCGGAGGGGAGGCTGGGGCTGCGAGGCGGGTGCGGGGCGGGTGCGGGGCCGACCTTCTCCACCACGATCACCGAGACGGCGCGCATGTAGTTGACTCCGTCGTGGTAGCCGTCGAAGCCCATCGCGTTGAGGATCTCCTCGGTGGTCACCTCCTCGGCGGGCCCCTCCACCGCACCGAGCATGAACTCCTGCAGCGCGCGCCAGTACTGCGCCCCTCCAAATAGCCGCTTCTGCGAGTGCAGCCAAAGGTTGAGCTCCTGCGAGGCAGACGGCGGCGGAGAGGGTTGGAAGCCCCCCCCCCCCCCCCCCCACCACCACCACCACCCCACCCGCGCCGCTCGGCAGTGCACCTCTTCGACGTCGCTCGGCACGACCGAGCCCGGCTCGCTCGACTCGCCGTCCGCGCCGTCGCCGGAGCTCTCTGCGCGCCCCTGCGCCGCCCGCGCGGCCGCCACCGCCGCGGCCGCGGCGCCGCCCTTGCCGTCGACGCTCGTGAAGCGGCAGAGGGCACCCGACGCGGAGGCGACGATCTCCTGCGAGAGCGTCTCCCCGTGCTCGGAGGGCGAGATGGAGGCGGTGCCCTTGATGAGCGTGTTGACGCACGCAGCGAACCGATCCGCAAAGTCCTCCACCGCCTGAGGAGCGGCGCAGCCCACCCGTCCGTCGGCAACACCAGTCAGCAACACCAGTCAGCAACACCGTGGCTGAGAGGCGGTGTCGGAGAGGCGCCGCCGCCCCGCCCCCTCTCCAGCCGCGGGGAAGGGGGAAATGAGGCGGCTCTGGGCCGGGCGCGCGCCTGGGCAGGCGGCGGCGGCGGCGGCGCGTTGAGCTCGGCGCGGATCTTGCCGATGCGCGCCTCGAGCTCGCGCGACGTCTCCTGCACGAGCTCGAGCCAGCGCGCCTGGGGGGGGGGGGGGGGGGGCAGGTGTGCGAGAGGGGGGCCGGAGGCGAGGGGAGGAGGAGCCCTCCCGCGGCTCGAGGGTGCGCACCGTCAGGTGGGGCGCCATGAGGCGCCACAGCGCGGAGACGCCGATCCGCGCGTCGAACTCGCTCGACTGGAGCTTGGAGCCCAGCAGGCGGCGGAGGGAGGCCTGGCGGGGAGGGAGGGGTGGGTGGGTGGCAGACTCCGGAGGGCGGGGCTGAGCGACGCGCGACGCTGTTCTCTCTCCTGGGCCGTGCGGGTAGAGTGGGGGGGAAGGGGCGGGGGAGCCCTTCTCTCTCCTTCTCTCCCACCGCCCTTCTCTCTCGCACCGCCCTCTCTCACCTCATGTTCCTCGATGAGGTCGCTGTAGCCTCCCGCGCCGCCGCCGCCGGCGGCAGCCTTGCGGCCGGCGTGGCGCGAGTCCGAGCGGAGCGGAGGCACCGACGTGAAGATAGGCCCGCCGAGCAAGTGCGGCCGCTCCGCCGCCAGCGCCGGAGGGTCGACCAAGCCTCGCAGGTCCTCGGGGAGGGAGAACTGGGGGAGGGGAGAGGAGGGGGGCGGTGAGGCGGGACGGTCGGCGAGAGCCCAGAGCTCGTCGAGGGCTCGAGGGCGAGGGGGCGCGTGGGCTCAGAGGGCAGAGTGGACGTGCTGTGGGGACCTCCCGTGGCGCATCGGCGGAGGGCGGGCGGAGGGCGGGCGGAGGGCGGGAGGGGTGGGAGCCGCGGCAGAGGTGCAGCGGAGGGTGCAGCGGAGGCGTGTCGGCGCGTGTGTCGGTCTCGCGAGGCTAGTGCTGTGCCGCCTGCGCCATCTTGGCGTCGAGCTTTGTCCCGACGAGCAGTGTGCGGCGCAGGTCGGTGTCGGCGCGCGAGACGACCGCCATGGTGCGCGAGATGGCCCAGTCGGAGGTGTCCTCCAGGCACAGTATCAGCCGCTTCGGCGGCGTCAGATGCTGCAGCACCAGCCCCTCGACCGCCGCGGCAGCCTCGCCGAGCTCGAGCCCGTCCGCTGGGCCGATCAAGCCGGGCGTGTCGATGAGGACGAGGGTGGGCGCGCGGCGCCAGCTGAGGCGCACGCGCAGCGGCTCCGCCTCGTACTCGCCCGCCGCCTCGAGCCGCGCATTCTCGCGCTCGATCAGCGACCGCAGCTGCTCAGGCCGCACCTGCTCCTCGCCGCCGCCGCTGCCGCCGCCGTCACGCGTGAGGAAGAGGGCGGGCTCGGCGGCCGAGTCGTCGCGCTGCGCGGTGATCTGGAGCGGCCGCCGCGTCAGGCCCTCGTTGCCCACGTGCGTCAGCTTGATCCCGAGCAGCGCCTCGAGCAGCGACGACTTGCCGGCGTTCTGGTGCCCCACCAGCACGACCGTCGGAAGATTGGCGCCGCCGAGGTTGCCGTCGCCGTGCACGCGTGCGGCGAGCTCGAGCAGCTCTTCGCTCTGCGGATCCGCCGCCGCTACAGCGCACGCCGCGCACGCCAACAACAGCAAACTGGTGTGCATGCGCGGGGCGGGTATGCAACACGAGTTTGGGCGCGAGTCATCTTTTCTCTCTGAATGTAGCTCAAAAGATCTCTCCCGAACATTCCCGTAGGTGAACTGAGGTTTGCGATGAGGACCGATCCGAACGTGGTATTCGGGTGATTAGATCACTACTGCCGAAGCGCAAGAAGAGAAGACCCCCCCCCTCCGAAGCGCAAGCGCTTGGAGCAAGGGAGCTGCCACGTATGGGTCCCAGACTAGCACCCCACCTCGCGGGCCGACGTTCTGGCCCAGCGAGGCTGCTGCGCAGCACTCGCTTCCCCCCTTTTAGGAAAAGAAACGCGCTTCCTTCGCCCCTGCCCGCCCGCCCGGCTAAAGATGGAAGCCAAGGGAGAGAAAGTTGTCGTTGTGGCGAACATCGTCGACGAAGCGCCCTCGAAGCTCGCGGTTGCGGGCAGCCCCGAGCTTGCCGCGCTCAACAACGGTCTCACAAACGAGGCGAACGCGCTCAAGGGAGCGGCGACGCTTCTCTTTTGCCTTTCGCTCTTCCAGGTCTTCACCCTGCACGGTGCGCGGGCGCGGGGGGGGGGCTGTACTGCGCACGGGCCATCTCGGCCTCGTACTGGCGCACGACCCCATGACGCGCTTGGCCGCCACCAGTGTTGCGCACGTTCTGGCGGGCCTGCGGGGCCGGAGGCCTCCTCTCCGCCCGTCTCTAGGCTTCCTCGGCCTGGTCGCGTCTGCGCTCGTGCTGCTCTACTCCGAGCGGTGGGCACTCCCCCTGCATCGCTCGCCCCGCGCCCGCCCTCCCGCGCGCCCGCCCCACCCACCCCTCCCCCCAAACCCCTCGCAGCTCCCCCCTCGGCACCGCCCACGCCGCCCGCTTCACCCACTCCCTCTCCGTCGCGACGGCGATCTTCTCGGCGGGCGCGCTGGCGGCGGCGATGATCGTGTCGGTGGCGGTCGTGCCTGACGCGCTGCCCGAGATGGTTGCCGCCTGCGAGGAGGCGCAGGCCGAGAAGGCCGCCTGGGCGGCGGCGCAGGAGGCGGAGCCCGACGCTCGCTTCCACGCCATCTACGTCATGCCTGCCGCCCGGCGGCTGCACCAGGCGGGCAGCAGCCACACACGCACGCACACTACCGCCCGCCGCCCGCGCGCCCGCCCGCCGCCCTCCACCCGCCCCGCCCTCTCCCGCGCGCCAGGTCGCCGTCGAGAACTGCGACGCCGTGCTCGAGTACGCGTCGTCGGCCCTGCCGCTGGTCCTCTTCTTCAACATCCTGATGCAGGGAAGCCTGATGCTCGCCGCGACTTCGTGCGCCAAGCACGCCGCCCTCCTCATGATGAAGGCCCAGTCCCTCGGCGCGCCCGCCATCTGAGAGACCGTCTGAGAGCGACGCGCCGCCTCGCCCCGCGATTGGAAGAGGTCGTCAGGCATCTGCTTCACACCTGACCTCGCCGAGGCGCACGCGGCGCGTCGTGCACGGGGATAGGGAGGGGGGGGGGGGGGCGACCCTCGGCCGGACGAGGAGATCCGGGACGGTCCGACGCTTCGCGGCTTCGACCAGTGCGGTTTGTCACGGCTGCAAGCGAGTTTGTAGTGATCTCGTGTCGCTCGTGTGTGAGGACACCGTATATGTGGAGTCTTGTTGTTACACTTACAGTGGTAGGAGGATGGTGTTGAGAGAGCGCATTCGTGGTTCGATCCCGCAAAAAACACACAGTCACACACGACAAAACGTGTGTGCGGGCGGGAACGCCAACGCATAACAGTTAAGACGGGCACGCTGCGGCGCGCAATCGAATGATAAAGGGCCAGCACCCATAGAACCTCGACGGCCGTCGCTGTCTGCAGCCTGTAAGCTGAGAGGCTCAGCTCAAGACAAGAAGCCGAGGTCGCCACCAACAATCTTGGCCTTCTTGACGAGGGCCCCGCGCATCTCGCGCGCCACGCCGTAGGTTTCGCAAAACTCGGTGATCGCCTGCGCGTGGTACGTGATGAGCTTGCCGCGCACTTTGTTGAGCAGCTTCTCGCCTAGCACGACCTTGCCGGCGAGTACCACCGGCGTGAAGGGGCCGTCGGGCGCCATGTTGCCCATCATGGCCGGGGCGGGAGACCGGCGGGCGGCCACGCTCGCTCGGCACCCGACAGAGAGCGCGCTGCTCGCCGCGCACAGCAGCAGGACAACCAGCGAGCGGATCATCCACAGGACACCGAGAGCAGCGAAGGCGTGGGAATCCGAAAAAAAGTAATTGGCCCGACGCCGGTGCCGGCGGCATGAAAACTGCACAACCGACTCGCCACCCCCAGCGCGTGAGGACTCGCATATGGTGTCTCGGAAATGCTCCCTGACACAGCAGGCAGGCTCGACACAGGTGCGGACTGGCGCGTGCTAGCACTAAAAAGAAAGAAAGAAAACAGACACGCCAAACGAGGGATGGGACGAGGACACGTGCTAGCACTATCGCGGGCAAACCACGCCGGCTTTTTCTTCATTCTTGTGTGGGTATTGATGCCACGCGCACGCTACGTCATCGACAGCACGCACAGGTGCCGACATCCACCCTCGTCGACAGGACCGTACCTCGGCAGGAGCTCATTGCTGCAAGATAAGAAATCAACCGCAGATTCATTTAATTCTCACTCATACACTCACTCACTACTTGGTCTTCAAAAATCTCTCTCTCTCACTAAAAACTCATTCAAAACACACACACACACACACACAGAGAGAGAGAGAGAGAGAGAGAGAGAGAGAGAGAGAGAGTGAGAGCGAGCGAGCGAGAGAGAGAGAGAGAGAGAGAGAGAGAGAGAGAGAGAGAGAGAGAGAGAGAGAGAGGGGAGAGGGGGGGAGAGAGAGGGAGAGAGACGAGGGACTGAGCCAGCCCACGGCGCCGGGTGTTTTACCGCTAATTCCCGTTCCGCCCGTCCGTCGGCCTCGAAGCCAGGCGAGAGCAAAGGCGATGGCGGGGTGCGGCCGCCTGAGGCTCCTCGGTGTGCTGCTGCTGCTACCCCTCGCCGCTGCCTTCACATGGCCATGGCAGAGTTCGCCCGATGATCGGGTGCGTTGCACTCGCGCTGGATCAGGCCGCCCTCGCGCTCTCGTGCGCACGCGTCTCTCACGTGCGGTTCCAGGTGGATTTGTCCCTCGGGACTCTGCGCAAGTACTTTCATTCGTATTGGACGCTGATCACGTGCGCACGCTCTCCCTCCTTGCCGTACTGCTCCAGCGGCTCACGCTCCTTCTGCCCAAATGCCCACAGGACGGGCCAACAAGTCGTGACGCCGGTGGAGCATGAAAAGGCCTACCAGATGCCTCCAGCGGGTCCGCGGAAGCCCTTTGGACTGGCAGTCAGCGGGGGTGGGTTTCGTACCATGACGGCAGGCTTTGCCTACGCGCGTGCCATCTCCATGGCGTTCGACGAGGACCGCGCCGCACTTGCGTGCGGGTTCTTCCGCACCTCTCCTCCTAATCGCACGGCCACAATCGGTGCTAGGTGGGCTTGAACTGGCAGGCCGTGACGCACCTGGGCGGCAACTCTGGAGGCCAGTGGTTTGCGACCCAGGCACACAGAGACTCGCGTCCCACCGTCGCCACTCCACCTCTCCAACCCCTCACTCACCCTTCCACCGCCGCGCGCAGTTTTCCTACTCGCTCAAGGTTCACGAGGACCTGACTCGCAAGGGCAAGGACGGCAAGTACAGGCCTATCGACGATGTATTCAGGGACTGGGGTATCACTTATGCCAAGGGCCTCCTCTTCGGGAAGAAGGGGGCCACCGAAGTTTACAACCGCTGCCAGAACCGGCAGCTCGTGAGCCTCTTTGCCGGCTATATTCACGCCATCACCAAGCTGCTCAACGTGGTCAACTTCCCGGCAAGCGACTGGCACGTGTACATCAACGACATGCTCAGCGGCATCATCCCCAACTATCTCGAGCTCAACTACACGGCGCCGCGACACGGGATGCCCGACGCCGCCCTTGTACAGCAGCTCGCGCTCCCGCCAGACTCGTGGGTCGGCAAGGGCGACGACACGAGGCAAGTCTCGCTCGAGATGCCCGAGGGGTGGGCGAAGGGGACGACGATTCCCTTTGCCCACGTCTCCAAGTCGCGCACATCGGAGCTGGGCTACGACGGCTTCCTCGTGCCGCTCTATCAGCCTGGGCCCTACTCGCGCGCGGAGATTCCCCTGGTCAGGAAGCCGTTCCGGTGCGACTGCAGCTGGACGATGCGGTACGCGTGCCCGGAGGACGCGCACACCGGAGGAGGCAAGACAGTGTGGCGACCAAAGTGGTTCTGGAAGTTGTTCGGGTCGGTTGCGGAAGACGACCAGTCGGCCTGCTATTCGTACTGCTGCGGGAGCCTCGACATGCAGCAACGCACCCGGAGCGCCGTGCGGGGCATCGAGGGGACGCCCGATCTGGAAAAGCCTGAGGAGATCATCCCTGCCATCTTCCCGACGCCGGCGGAAACGAAGTTGCACGAGCTCACCGCCATGTCGTCGGCGGCGGGCGGCGCTGGGACTTGCCCGTACATCATCAAGAAGGCTATGAAGCAGGCGCTGAGGGGGACGCTGCAGGCCACAAAGAACAAGAACGGCGCCATGATGAAGGGGTCCGTCTTTCTGATCGAACTCGCTAATTCCATCGGCATGAAGCCGAGCGACGGCTCGATGACCGCTGCGTTCTACCGGTGGGCCACGGGCGAGGACACGACGGACGACTTCCTCAACAATGAGGTGGACGGCTTTGTAGACGACTGCATGCCCTTTGGCCTCGACCACCTTGGGGTCGACCTGTCGTTGCACTATCCGAAGGACGAGACCGTGACGCTCGATGAGCCGGACAGCCGCTCGTGGATCCCCGGCTACCGCGGGATGGACGGCGTCTACGTCGAGAACACGGCGCTTGCAATGACGATTGCCACGATGATTCGAGACTGCGAGGCGGGCGACGCGACCCTCGACTGCCGCGACAAGTCGTTCGACATCATCCTCGTCAACGACGGCGACAAGAACCCTACGTTCAACGGGCTTGGCCCCTTCTTCAGCGACACTGGCAAGCCCGTCGGCTCGCGTGTCGTTGCGGGTCCGGGAGGTCTCACCATGGTGCCCTCGCCGATGATATTTGCCGAGAAGTATCCGCGGACTGCCGACTCGGAATGCAAGCTGGATGGCAGCCCCTGCTGGGTCAACTACTACACGTCGACTGGGATCGCCGATTTCTTCGGCAGCTTGGACGACCCACTCCGGCTCCCGGACGAGATCATCTCGGGAATCGCCAATGGTCGCCTCGGCGCCGCCGCGCAGAATGACATTTCTAACTTCTTTGGCGCGCGCGGGGCACCGAGCGCCGCGCGTGAGGTTGACACGTCCTGCAAGAATGGTTGCGCGGCCTGCAAGCCTGGGTGCGGATGGACCGCAGATTGGGCGTGCCCGTCGCAAAAGAAGCCCGGCAAGAAGGGGTACGCAAAGCCTGACGGCTCCTCCTGCTTCAACTTTTGCTGCATCGTGCAGGAGCCTGGCCTCAAAACCCTGACGAATCCGGTCACGGGGAAGGCAGTCCCGGACGTCGAGAAGAAGGCGCTGGCAGAAGCGGAGGCTGATCTCGCTCTCTTTCAGCAAATGGGCCAGCCAGAAGGGGGGCTGCTGGGAAAGGCTGGGGCGAAGGCCTTTAACGTGGCTGATGAGGACTCCATCCTCGAGGTGTTTGATGTGCCGGACGACAGCGAGGCAGCGTCAAGTTCGACGGGTGTGGGCGAGGACTACGTTGGGGACCGCGGGATCCTCGACAGCATGTTTGGGAAAGAGGAGGAGGCGCCGAGGGAGTCGAGGTACAAGGGCTCGAACCTGCTCAGGGGGACCTTCACCACGATTGACAACCCGGCCTGGGGCTTGAAGGCTGGTTACAAGGTGAATCTGCTCGCCTTTTGCATCCTGTACCCTCAGGACCCGCTGTTGCAGGGTGGCATCGGCATCGACAACGATCCGATTATCCTCCCCCCCCTCACCGCGGCCACCTTCTTCGACTCGCTGTACGCTCCGATCGCTCACACAGAGATCGACTCCGCGACACCGTTTCTGAAGGAGTGGTTGAGAGGCGTGGCGAAGCGGCGAGAGATGCATCAGGTTGCGCAGAAGCTCAGGCTCGCCCCAAAGTCGAGCCCCACCTCGGCCGCCCTCGGAAATAATGCTGTGGGGTGATAGCTGGCGCGCAGGCTCGATATGGTGGTAGTTTTTCTATTGGCGTTTGTATGTGCGCCACACGTGTTCACAGTATACTATGCGCCGCGGGCTCGAGACCGCGGCTGATGCGTCGTTGCGCCCTCCGAGCGGACCTGCGTCTCAAGGCTATGCGTGCTTTCGAGCCGTCGCCCTGTGCCGGCGTGTCCATCGCCCCGGCGCCTCGGCCTGCGATGAGCCCTCTAATCTCCGACGCGGGCCTGTATGAGCCATGATCGACGGCGCAGCAACAGATGGGATGCCATACCGGCTGAGGATGGCTGGCTCCGCGTCCGCGCACTCCCTGGTGGAGAGGACTGCGCGACTCTCGTCGGTGAAGCGCAGCTCGACGAAAGGCTTGGCCGAAAGCTTCGCCTGCCGCCATCGCTGGTACAGCCGTTGCAGACTCCATTGCTGATTGGTGTTCGCCCCATTGAACGACTTGAAGACGCGCCACCCACCGAAGGGGTAGCCAAAGTTGACTTCGTGCGTTAATATGTCGAGCAGCACGATTGGGGGCGACGGGAGATCCCTGCGCCGGAACCCGTGCTTTCGCTCGACTGCGTCACGGTAGACGTCGTGCACGCGCGAATCGAGGCCGCCGTTCTCGACGCTGACTGCATCGACGAGAGGCGCGGTCAAGGGCGCGAAGAGAAACCCGCAGATCAAGACCCACTCTGGGGAGGCGTCCAGCCCATGCGTGCGGGGGATCGGTGGGGGGATCGGCCCGAGCACGCCCGACCAGGCTAGGCGACGCCCGTCGCGGAGTAGTCCCAGCGTGGTCGGACTGCCGATGTGCTTGGAGGTAATGAGGTAGTCCGCGCCCACCCGCTCGCCGGCTCGGAGTAGCACGGTGTAGTCATTTCCCAATTCCGTGCCATCAATTGACGTGATCACATCATCCACTAGCAAGCTGCTGCTATTTGTCACCGCCATAAGGTCGCTGACGGCGGTTACCACAACGCCGTTCGTGCCGGGGGGGACGCCGAGGCGGCTGCGGAGAGCGGTCGCCTCAAGACGCTGGACACGAAAAGGAACCTCCTGCACACCTGCGTATCGCCCTCCCCCGTGCAGGCAGTTTGTCAGGAAAGTTTGCACCACCGACGCAGGTATGACGTATCCCACGCTCTGCGCCGCGTCGAGGCCCTGGAAGGCGACACCGACGAGATGGCCGTCCGCTGCCAATGCGGGACCGCCGCTGTTGCCGCTGTTGATGGCCGCGTCGATCTGTAGCACCAGATGGTCTCCTGGAGAGAGGCTGGCGGTGAGGCCCAGTCGGTAATTTTTTGCGTCTATTCGCGAGACGATGCCCTCGGTGACGCAGATCGTTCGACCGCCCTCGGGGAAGCCAAGCACGCGCACGGGGTCCTGGAGCATCGGCAGAGTCGGCGCTATCTTGATCGGTTGGACTTCGGGTGCGAAAAACTCGTCGGCATTGGCGTCAACTCCAAGGATCGCGAGGTCCACATCTGCGCCTGACTGGAGCAACCTGGCAGACCAGCGGCGTGCGTCACCACTACGCGAGAGCCGAATATCCACGGCGTCTTCGATGACGTGAAAATTGGTCAAGATCCGCCTGCCCTCTACCACGAAGCCCGTGCCGCGCCGCCTCTGCAGCGGCTCTGTCTGCCAAGGCCGGACGTAATTGGGACGCACCGCCGAGACTTCGATACGAACGACGGCACTAAGCACGGCAGACAGTGGCTTGTCCTGTGTGAGGGCCGTGACGAACAAAACGGCGAGCATCGCACAAGTCCGCTCCCTCGCTCGCCAGCCATATGCGCGGGACAAATATTACTGGACCCCGCGATGGGCGTTGAAAGAGAGAAAGCGGATAACAAGAACCCAACCCACTCTCTCACATGACAAGCGATCCCACGACAGCGATCGATTGCCACAAGGAAGAAAGAATCGGTCGTCCCGAATTCTTTCGAAGAGCAGTACACAAACAAGCGTCCCAGCATTTGGCACCTCCCGCGCCCTGCTGTGCACGCCAGCTTTTCTGCGCCAAGTGATACGATGATCAAGCAAAGGTGCTCATGGTGGCACGTCCCGCTGCTTCTGGTCATCCTGCTTCTCTCCCTGGTGCCCAACATGCACCGTCCGCTGTGGCGTTCGCGTGCTCCGGCTTTGCTCGGTGGCTCGCCTGACGGTGGCTCGCCTGACGGCTTGCCTTGCACTCTTGCGCTCACTGTTGCGGTTGTCCCGCTCGGCCGCATTCGGAGAGCGGCGCTGCAGCAACTGCTGTCCGATGCTGACCCCGATCTGGTCGCCGCGCCGGACGGTGACGATCGGGTGGGCAACCTCTCGTCTGCGGTGCACGCAGCTCTTCCGCACCACGGACGGCTGCTCGTTGGCAGTGGAGCGGCCGGCGTGCCGTCTCTGTGGGCGCGCCGCTCGCTGTTCGTCGAGGCTCCCTCGGCCCGAGAGCCGGCCGCGGGCCTCGCCCGCATCGCCTCGAGTGGAGCCTGCAAGGCGCGGGCTGCCATCGGCGCTGGGAGAAGCAACGACCTCCCGCGGTTTGCGGCTGCGGCGGCGGGGCCGCTCGTCGTCGGGCTCTCCATCTCCGCCGACGAGACGCCCACCGGGTGGCGCGAGATGTGTCGCCGCTATCACCTTCAGGACAGTCTCGAGGCGCTTGGCGCTCCGGCGGAGGCAACCAGCCCAGCAGACTCCAGCTGGCCACCGCCCCACCAGTCGGCGAGTGTCGTTCTGGGGGGCGGGGCGGTCGCTCTCGGCACGACGGTGTGTCGGCGCTGGCTTGGCAAGCAGGCGGAGCCGCCGGGGGCGCACTGGCCGCTGCTCGTCGCCGTGCGGCTCGAAGGAGTTGCGGCGCCGGCGGTGATGATGCCGTCGCCAACGCCAACGCCGCAGCCCGCTTCCGCCGGCGGCGGCGGAGGCAGCGGTGGAAGTGGCGCGGTGCCTGGTGCCACGCCCACTTGCGACGGTTGCTCCCACCAGGGCCGCTGCTACGACGCCGAGCGGTTCCCGCAGTTTGACTCGGCGAGCTGTGAACAGCTTGGCGGCGGGTGGAAGGGTGCAGCGGAGCGTCGGGCGGGTGGCGGTGCAGGCCCCGGTGCGGAGGGTGTGGGGGGTGCAGAGGGTGTGGGAGGAGGAGGCAGCGCCCAGGAGCGCCCGCCGGTGCGACGCAGGCTGGCGTGGCACGGCGCGGGCAGCTACGCGCTCACCTCTCTGAGCCTCAACGCTTGGGGAGGGAACCAGCTCTCCCGCCGGAGAGGCTCGCTGCGAGATGCGTCGGAAGTCAGGGGGCGGGCTGCCGGCTCTGCTCACCCACGTGATGCGCCACCACAGGCTCGCTGGTCGCGACGCTAAAGACGTACGACGCCGACATCGTGTGCGTGCAGGAGTCGGTGGGGCTCGCGCACCTTCTGGGGGAGGCACTGCCGACGCACACGCGGATCCTCTCCGCCGCAAAGCCGCCGCCGGCGAGGAGCAAGCCCGCGGCTGCCAAGCCTCCGGCGGGCGCCGCGCCAAAGCTGCGCTTGCGCGAGACAGACTCGACGGTCCTGTTCCGCACGTCGGCTTTCGCGCTGCTGGGCGAGGGCGAGGCGCCGCTCGGGAGCGGGCGCACGCTCGCGTGGGCACGCCTTGCGCCGCACGCCGTCGGGCCGGGCGACCCGCCCACCCTCCTCGTCGGGAGCCTGCACTCCTCCTCTCGGACCTGCAAGTTTGCGCGCTGAGCGGCGCTTTCTTCTCACGGCTTCCACACCTCCGAGTAGGCACCTCCTGCATCCGGATGAGCCGGTCGAGTACGAGTCCGGGCGCAGCCCCCGGGTCGGGCAGACGCGCGCTCTGCTGCGCGTCGTGAGAGAGCTCGGCGGCGGGCGCGCGGAGCCCGTCCTGCTGATGGGCGACTTCAACGACCCGCACCTGCCCCGCTGGCACCTGCGCGCGGCCGGGTGCGCCCCGCGCCTCTGCAGCCTCCGCCACGTCGCCGCCTCCACCCCCCTCACCGCCGCCGCCATCCCCGCCGCCGCCCTCGCCGCCCCGGTCAGGTACGTCGACGCCTTCACCGCGCTCGGCGTCACGCCCGAGCCAACCTTCCCCGCTCACCCGCTCGCCACGTGGGACCTCATGTACCCGCACGTCGTGCTCGACTTCGCAATGGCGCGTCGCCGCACAACCCGCGCACCGTGCACTCCCACGCAGCTACACCGCGCTCTCACGGCGGCCCCGGTCGCGCGTCGCAGGCGCGCCGCATGCGGCCGCTCGCGGCGCAGGTGCTGCGGGCGGCGCCGGGAGGGGAGCCGCCGTCGGACCACTGGCCTCTCATCGCGGCGTGGGCACCGCTCGCGCCGGACGCGACGCCGCCGCCGCTGATGGCGAGCTACGACCCCGCCACGCTGCTGCTGCCGCCCGCTTACCGCAGCTGCGGCGGCGCGCGCTACGACGACGAGCGGCGCAGCGGCAAGCCCAGGTGGCGGGTCGCCGCCTCGAGCGCGGTGCGCGGGCACGACTACGGCTGCCCCGAGGGCCTTGACCTCGCCGCACTCTCCAATGCGAGCTCCAAGGCGCAGCGCAAGGAGGCGGCAGCGGTGTGCCGGGTCTGTGCGGCGGCCGCCGTCGCCATTTGCGAGGCGCATGGCGAGCGCTGCGCCGGCTTCGAGCTCAACGGCGCGCAGCTGGTCGCCACCCTCAAGGGCGCGCCTTGCTTGCGACAGGTCGACACCGGCAACACGGTGGTCGTCAAAGTCGGCGCCAAGAATGACGCGTGCAGCGCGCCGCAGGCGGGAAAGCCGCTTACGGCAAAGGCGGCGCCCGGGAGGTCGCGCGGCACAGGCTGGGTGGTGCCAGCGGTGGCGGAAGCGGCTTTAAACGGCAGCACAAGCAGCACACGACAATCTGATTCTTATTATTACTCTTCTTATTCTTAGCACGGTACGTCGAGTTTGCATGGATAGCCGTGATGATTGCGCGCGGACGGACGAGAGAGTCCCAGAGGGAGATATCGTAAAGCCATCCCCCCCAGAGATAACGCAGAGGACCAGAGGTCACAGCGCACATTCGCTCGGGGGCGCGCGATATGCGCGGCGCGCACCTATAGTGAGAGCTGTGTGCGCTGTGTGGCGCGGCTTCTGCATAGTTGTTGGTTTCACATCTGCACGCGAGACACAACGGCCGCAGCCAAGCATGCGGCCGAGTCAACTAGCAGCACCGTCTCGAGCTTGAGGAGACAAGGCCCAGCTTTAGTGGCGCCGGCGGCGAGCAGGGCGGGGTTTATGTCAGTGCAGGCAACTATGACAGTGGGTGTCGCCTCGCAGGACGTTGGGCTCTGTGTCAGCTGCGCCACTAGAGAGCACACAGAGGCTGAAGCCGCAGCGATGTTGCCCTCTTTCACGCTCGTGATCAGCGCTGAAACGGAAGGTTGTTGCTGCTCCGTGACAGCTGAGTTGAATGCCTGATTCAGCCCGGCCTGGTATATACCGCTGCGCACCGTTCCGGGTGTGGCCCAGAGCACCACATCCCTCTCCCCGGCTGGCAGAGAGGCCAAAGTTGCCTCAACGATACCGACCCAATCGACTCCTGGCGGCCTATTTGGCCCTTTCGCCGACACATATGCGTGAGCTGAGTTGCACGGCATGCAAATTACATCCAAGCAGGTTTCCGTGGACAGCAAGCGCTGAAACCCAGCAGCGATTGCGGCGCGCATTGAGTCATCATAGTCAGAGCCCTCACCGTACACACGAAAAGGAGTCGGCCAGGAGAGGATGTGCATGGGAGGGAAGTCGTCATCCTGCTGGCAGCCTAGCTGTTCTTGACACGCAGTCACCAGGAGATCAATAAACGGCGCTGTGCTGCGAGGGCCCATCCCCGCCAAGACCCCAATGCCAGTCATGATTCGGTTCGCGGAGCGCTTCAGTGATTTCGCGCGAGGACAACGCGTTTCGGCGGCGAGAAAGATTCAGTTAAGGTTCGACACTTGCGGGCAGTATTCTTTCAGTGTACTAGTACTTTTAGCTTACTGGGAGCTCTCTCTTCTCAGTGTATGTAGCTCTTACGTACATTCCCGGAGGAGGACTGCTTTCGTTTAGGCTCGGCCTTTTCTTTTCCAAGGAAAGGTTTTTCTTTTCCAAGGAAAGGTGTGTGAATCCCCCCATCCCCAGGGCCTCAAGGGCTCGCACCTCAACCTCTCATAGACCAGCGCACAGCGCCATACGACGTATTTTCTTCTCAAGAACAAGGCTGTGAAACCCGGCGCGCCGGTATTTGATTGAACTTCTGCATTCAAGTGCGCTCAACGTCCGGACCGATGTGGTGCCTACCGTGCGTCGGTGCGAGTTTGGGCCCTCCACTGCCAATGCCAATGCCGCCGGTGCCGACGCCCATGCCGCCAATCCCTACGCCCGTGCCACCACAGCCACCGCCCTCGCCGACTCTGCCGCCGCCGCCGGCTCCGCCACTCCCAGCACCTCTGCCTCCGAACCCAGACCCCTCGCCACCGCCCTCGCCGAAGCCACTGCCGCCGGCATTCGCTCCGCCTACCGACTCAGCGCCTCTGCCTCCGACGCCGGACCCCTCGCCGCCACCACAGCCACCGCCCTCGCCGACTCTGCCGCCGCCGCCGGCTCCGCCACTCCCAGCACCTCTGCCTCCGAACCCAGACCCCTCGCCACCGCCCTCGCCGAAGCCACTGCCGCCGGCATTCGCTCCGCCTAACGACTCAGCGCCTCTGCCTCCGACGCCGGACCCCTCGCCGCCACCACAGCCACCGCCCTCGCCGACTCTGCCGCCGCCGCAGGCTCCGCCACTCCCAGCACCTCTGCCTCCGAACCCAGACCCCTCGCCGCCGCGTTCGCTGCTTCGATCTGACCATGTTCGTGCCTGCTCCTTCTCACTCAAGATTGGCAGCGCCAACCGTCGCCAGCGCGCTCTGGAGGCCATCGATCACGACCTGGTTGGGCTCGCCATCGTATCGTCCCTCGCCAGCGCTGGCACGATCATCACACTCCAGCAGATGGTATTGGAGGACCTAGGCGATTACCGTTTGGAGGTGACCATCCTACCGGCCGCCGGTGGGGCAACTGCCGAAGAAATCACTGCCGCTGCTGTTGACACCAGCTTCCTAGATCGCATGCGAGATATACTCGGCGTGTCGGTTGAGTTCAGTGCTCCGCCCGCCGTCGTTGTCCTGAAAGCTGAGACGGACGACAACAGTGGTGGTAATCACAGTGTGGTTTGGGCCGTTGTCGGAGTCGCCTGCGTCCTCGCGGCTCTCAGCCTGTTCACCACGTTCTTCGCATGGAAAAGGAACGCCTTTGGCACCTGGCGCCTGCGACGAGTCTCACGCCCTGTGGAGGGTACAACGCTGGGTGGCAAGACAGATTTCTCCTCCCGAATTGACGTCCCACTGCCGATAGACGTAGCCGACCTCGAGAGCGCAACCATCGCCGACATCGTAAGGCGCCTATCCGGCGTCGGCCTTGAGACGCCGGTCGGTTCGCCCGTGAGGCGCGCCAAACGCGCCCCGAGACCCGATGGTGATGGCTCAGTAACGTTGAGCCCGCGAGCTTTGCCGTGGAGCTCCCCGCTCCGGCAGCGGCAGAGTCGACTTTCGCCTAGGGTGGCAGAGCAAGCAATCCGCATCACCGACAGTCCGGAATCTGGCGCGCACTGCGGATGAGCGATGCACGTGTGACTGACGCCACGGCACATGTGATGCTCGTGGCGGCGAGCATGGGACTCCCCCACTCCCCGAACGGAGAGGCGGGAGGGGTACACCACTATGATTGGGCGGCTCCGGAACGCTGCTCTGCCGCTCTGGCTGTGTGAGCTGTGAGCCGGAGAGCAGTGTGCATGCTGCCATATGAGGTGTGTGGTCAACTCTCTGTTGGGGTGGGGCGTCGGAGAACGGCGACCAGCTCAAGAGGCGCGGCACTGCGCTCGCGGCTCTGGCGGCGGCGCGGGAGACCGCCATCGCCACCGGCACAGCGTCAGCCTGTGGCACAGGCCGGACAGCGCCAGCGGGGGTGGACCGGGGCGCGGGGGGCGGGTTTAGAGGAAAGTTTTCCTACTTAATCCTACTCTAAGGAGGGAGCTGGGGAGCGTTGGAAGGTTAGGGCTTTGGTGTCCTAGAGGGCCGTTTTGTGTTCGGTGTACACGTTGAGGGTGAAAACATATGGATATGCTCGTAACCAATCTTGCACTATAATGAAGTCTAAAATGTCCCTCATGCTCATCCGTCATCGCACACAAGGATCAAGGTGAGTAATGTGTGCAGCACATCGGAGCCGGACGCGCTCTCAACAACTGCACCGCACTGGAGACAGGCAGGGGAGGGAGACAACACGAAGCTCTGCGACGGCCACCGGGCCACTCCGCGACTCGGACTGCATAAAACGCGCGCCTCAAGGCTCTGCCTTGGGCGTCTCGAGGCGCGCCACCGCCCGCTCCACCAACGCCATAAGCGGCGCCCTCTCGGCACCGCTCAGCGTCTCGACTCGCTTGCCGTGCCGAAAGACGCAAAAGGTGGGCATCGTGGTGATGCGCAGCTCGGTGGCGCACTCCTCCATCTCGTCGACGTCCAGCCGCGCGAAGAGCAAGTGCGAGTGCCGCGCGCACAGCGCGGCAAAGACGGGCGCCACCGCGCGGCAGGGGGCGCACCTACAGCGAGGGAATCCTGGTGTGAGGGCGGCGACTCCCGCGGAGAGGGCGTTGGCTTTGGTGAGGGCGCACACCATGCCGCGTCAAACTTGACCACGGCCGGCGTCTCCATCGACGCCTGCAGCATCATCCGCCAGTCCTCCTCGTTGCGCAGAGCCACGACTTGGTGGTGAGCCGCCGACGGCGCGGCGGCGGGGGCGGCGAGGGCGGCGGCGGCGGCGGGAGCGGCGGCGGCACTGGCAGCGGTCGCGGCTAATGTGGCCTCGGCCGCGGCGGTTCGCAGCACCACCATCTTGCCCTCCACCTCCACGTCCTCCAGCCGGCGCAGCTTGCGCCGAAATACTCTCCGACACTCCTCCTCCCGCCCTGGCAGCTGTGCCGCCTCGGCCGTGCCCGCCGCCGCGTGCGCCGCGAGCACGGCGCCACGCAGCCGCTTGAGACGCATCGCGCCGCCCGCACTGCCGAGCGCCTCTCGGATGGCTCGCCTCCAGCCAAACGCCGCTGCGGAAGCGGTGGAGGCGGCGGCGGCGGTGGCGGCGGCGGCGGTGGCGGTGGCGGCAGCGGTGCCATCGCTGGCGGTGGCGAGGCGTCGACACAGCTCGGCACGGATCGGCTCCGGAGGGAAGACGGCAACTCCCTCACCAACCGAGCTGCCAGACGTGCCGTCCCGCAGCGCCCGCGTGCAGGTGTCAGCCACGGCCCACTCGCAGGGAGCGGCGCCGTGCCAAAGGTCCTTGATCTCTGGGAAAACGCTGGCGTCGAGTAACTCGCACCAGCTCGGGCTTGGGCTGGACATGCTTCGCCCGCGCGTCTGTGCTAGCGCACCAACGAGAAAAAGAGAAGGCGCGATTTCTTCTTCTCCGACCTGCACCGATTGCAGAGCCCAGAGAGCGAGCGCGCTTCCGCAGCGATGACTGATTCATCTCATTATCGAGGCGGTGGCGGGCGGATTCTTCTTTTGACGTCCGAGTCGGCGTCTTCAACTGCGTACCCAATCGGGACAACAAGCTGACAAAAAAAAACGACGACCGCGCGCGCGAGCGACACACAGACACACAAACTCACCGACTCTCAGAGTAACCAAAGAAGAAACGCAGCTGCAGACCAGCAGGTCCCCGCAGGACTACGAGATGGAGGATGCGGCCGTCATCGACGTCGTCATCAATCCACGCGCTAGACCGGTGATCGAGAAGGCTGGGCACGGCAGCAGCTGGCTCGCAGAGCTCGAGGAGCTGCTGTCGCACGATGAGTGGGAGCCGGTGGATGGCCGCGAGGCGCTTTGGAACGAGGTCCGAGCGTTGCTAGCCGGACGGCCGCAGCTGCGCACCTACCTCTCGCTTCCGCCCGAGTACGAAACGTGCACTCCTGGCGCACTGCATGTCTTCTACATTGGCCACAGCTACACGTCGGATGGCAACCGAGCGGAGTACGGCGCTCGCGGCAGGGTGATCGGCTGGTCTTCACAGGGCACGATGGCCGACATCCTCTTCCCAGGCAACGCCAACGGCGGCGCGATGTTCTCTCCCGTCAGCGAACTCCGCCGCGCTCCTCCCGCGCCACTACCTGGCGGGTACGCCCTGGGCGAGTCTCTCTACTTTACCGGTCTCACCCAAGACCTCGACAGCGGTGAGCGGATCGAGCACGGCGGGCTCTGCGCGGTTGTTGGCCCTCCGCCCGCCGTGGTCTACTTCCCGCCAAACAAGTGGTGTGTCACTTGCAGCCTCCTCTCGCTCAGCCGCAAGCCGCCCCCTCCTCTGCCCGGTGGGTTCCGCCTCGGCAAGCGGCTGTACTTCCTCGGGCTGTCTCAGACACTTGAGAGCGGCGACCGCGTCGTGCACGGAGCGCGTGGCGAGGTGACTGGACCCGCGTGGTCTGGCGCGCTCGCCGGCCAGGGCCTCGCGCTGCTGTTCAAGGGGAACCGGCACAGCGTCGAGTTCCGCCTCAGTCAGCTCCGCCGCAAGCCCGCCCCACCCCTGCCGGGCGGGTACCGTGTGGGCGAAAAGCTCTTCCACAACGGTCGCAGCCAGAAGTTCGAGTCCGGAGACCGGCTTGTGCATGGTGCACTGGGCGAGGTGACTGGCCCCGCCATCGGATCTGCCAAGGCCCTCGCGGTGCTGTTTCCGGGGAACAAGCGGAGCATCGAGTGCTTCCTCACCCACCTCAGCCGCACCTGACGCCGTGACGGCGAAGCCCAACTCACATCGGTTCGCGCGTGCGCCCGGTGGTATCTTTTTACCCTCTGCGCTGCTCCATCTTACGTCATCTTGCGTGTATTCTATTGTGTTGAGAAACGTGGGCACTCGCGCCCACCGTGCAGTCTCCCCTCCATACACCATAGTCTCTCGAGCCTCGGGCTCGGCGAGACTAAGATCTAAAAGTTTGTTGCGTACAGCGTACGGCCAGGGCCGCCACAGGCTCGAGTGTTTCTCTTTGGAACTTTGGAGGTTTGGTCTTTGCTGCGTTAGAAGTGCCAGTGCGCGCCAGTCCCGTGCCCAGCGTTGTGCGAGGTCGAGCTTTGTATGCACTTGGAGCATTTGGACATGGAGTGCAGTCAGTAGCCTCACATGCATATGCTACCAGGTCACAGGTATGGGGCATATGCCCACCAGGTCACAGTATCGAGTATGCGTCTAGAAATTCACGGAAAATTCTCTTTGCGAGAGCGCTCTCTCTTGCGGTGAACCTTCTTTTCTAGACGGCTAGGATTGAGAGCAGCCTCGCTCTCAATCCTAGATGTCGAAGGATTGTGAGCAGCACTCCTCGCAATCGTAGCATCTCTGTGCGATTGTGAGGCCTACGCTCGCAATCCTACATCTTCTAGGAATCGTAGGATTGCGAGCAGGTCCCCTCGCAATCGGTGGGATCACTGTTTGGATTGTGAGGAGACCATCCCAGCGCGCTCACAAGCGCTCGCGGCTGGAGCGATTGGGAGCGCCCCCTGTGCGCCTGCCAGCAATCCTTGGATCTTTGGTACGATTGTGAGCGCAGTCGCTCATAGTCCTACATACAAGATGTAGGATTGGGAGCGCTACTGCTCGCAATCGGAGGCATGTTGCTAGGATTGTGAGCTAAGCTGCTCGCAACCCTAGACTTTCCTCGGATTGCGAGCGCGCTGGTAGTAGTCGTACGTAGGCGTCAGTCACCAGTCACCTTGGTTGGGAGCGGAGCTGCTCTTAGTCCTAGAAGATGTAGGATTGCGAGCGTAGAGGCGCTCACAATCGCACAGAGATGCTACGATTGCGAGGAGTGCTGCTCACAATCCTTCGACTTCTAGGATTGAGAGCGAGGCTGCTCTCAATCCCAGCCGTCTAGAGAAAAGAAGGTTTACTAGATCACCCAAGAGGTTCACCCCCTCTTGCGTCTGCATGTCGTAGATCATCGTGGATACCAGATCCGTCGCCACCGCCTCCTCGCCGAACGCTCCCTGTCGTGGTGGGAAAAAGAAATGGCGGCGCCGGCGACGAGACATGCCCGACAACTGTCGCGTCTTGGATCATAGATCTATCGTCTGCGACCACAGCCCGACTAGCAAATGCTGCTGCTGCTCGCCCTAACGTCTTCTGTCACTCGCCGTGCCATCATTGCAGCGCCAGTCAGCGCCGCTGCGGCAGGGCAAGTCAGCGGCAGCGCTTCGGCAACGCAGCAGTCCTCTGCCGCACCACCGCCGGCGGCGCTTCTCCGCTCGGTCTCCGAGGCGGCCCGTGCGGGAACTCTCGGCCCGATGGCCATGTGGCCCGACCCTGTGCTCCGGCATGTTGCGGCGCCAGTGGACGACTTTGGGCCCGTGGAGCAGTTTTCGCAGATGCTGGTTGACGGCATGGAGTCCACCGCGATTGCCGCCACCCAGTACCACGTGAATGCTCAGATCATCGCCCTCCGCGGCGCGAGCTCGCCGCTGCCCGGGCCGCTCGTGCTCGTCAACCCGCGGGTGCTCGCGAGGTCGCCTGAGGAGCAGATGCGGCCGTGGAGAGAGGTCTGCCTCGTGCTGCCTCCCGGGCTGGAGGTGGACCTGCTCCGTGATGCGTGGGTGACGGTCGAGAGCGCCGACAGCGCCGGCCGCCGCTCGACCCGCACGCTGCGCGGCGAGCCGGCACGCGCCTTCCAGCACGAGTACGACCACTTGCGAGGCGTGCTGATCGTCGATCACGCCGACCTCGCAGACCTGCCCGCTGAGGTGCAGCTCATCGAGGCAGGCGAGCACGGCAGGAGGCAGCGGCGCGCCTACCAGAGAGAGATCGCCTACCAGAGCGACTCCCCGCCGGGCGGGGCGGACGCGGCCGCGGACGCGGCCGCGGCTCCGCCGCCCGCACCGGCGAGTGCAGCGGCCGCCCTGACCGCTGCCCTAGCGGCGGCCGCCAGATCCGCCCCCGCCGCCGCTGCCGCCCTCCCCGCCGCTGATCCCTCCGACGCCTTCGCCTCTGGTTTTGGGCCCGCCCTCGGCCTCCTCTTCCTCGGGAGCGGGCTGCTGCCCTCAGTCCGCCTCGCCAACGCCGCGGCGCTCACTTCCCTCACCGCGCAGTCGGAGCTCCTTGCGCAGCGCACCGCCGCGGCCGACGCCGGAGGGACAGTGATCGGCTGCTCGTTTTGGCTCGGCTACCCCGCGCCGCTCTACTACGAGGACGTGCTCGACGTCGCCGCCCGCCTCGGCGAAGGCTGCCCCGCGCTCACGCCCGGCCGGCTGCTGCGCCGGGCCGAGTTCGAGACCGCCCTCGCCGCGAGTCGGCCGCGCGGGGCGCAGCTGCGCGGCAGGGACGGGTCCCCCCTCCCCTCCCTTACCCGAGGAACGGGGCGGGGCAGCCAGCAACCGCCCAGCGCGCTCGCCGTCGACGCGGCGTGGACGGCGCTCTCGGGCGGCTCCTCGTACGTCTCGCCCGAGGAGGTTGCGAGACAGCTCGGCCGGTGGCGGCCGGAGCCTGCCGTCTTCGTGCTGGACGAGTTCGAGCGCTCCCTCCTCGCGGGGCGTGCCGGCGTCGCCTCGGGCTACCTCATCCTGTTTGGTATGCAGGCGCTGGCTTTGGCGCTCTTTGTCGTACAGCCGCTGTGGGAAGCCGCGGTCGGCGCGACCTAGCATCTATCCGCGCGGTCCGTTTTGGTGCATGCACAGATGTACATGTGCATGCATCTGGTATCTCTGTAACGACTAACGTGTCACCAAAAATGAAAAAAGAGAGCGTACTCTGAACGGTACACGTCTCTCGCCCGCGGTCGGCGATTTTCCATCGAGCAAAACAAAAATAGGTGCGACGGGAGAACTGGACGTTTAGAAGAGCCGAGTCGGCCCACTCGGCCGTCTGACCCTTGCTGGCGGCGGCGGCATCTTCTCGCTGCTGCTCGGCGGCGCCTGCGGCGGCAGCGGCGGCAGCGGCGGCAGCGGCGGCGGCGTGCTCGCGCCGCCAAACAACTCAATCGTCTGCAGGTCGAGGAGAGAGGCGGCGGAGCCAGCGAATCGTCGGTACTCGTCAAAAGTGGCCACGAGGGACCAGCGCTGCTGCTGTCGCATGCAGCCGACCAGGACGCCAGTCTCGCGCTGGCCGCGCAAGCAGTGCACCAGCACCGGCTGACGCTCGGGCCGCTGGGCGGCTGCCAGCGCTTCGGCGAGCGCGCCACCGTCCATGGCGACGAGAGGCTCGCGGTTGGTCCCGACGCGACAATCAATGACCGCAACCCCGGCCGCAGCAATCCACTCCTCCACCGCCGGCGGGTAGGCCGGGCCGTCGACCAGCCGCACCAGCGTTCGCAGGCCGAGTCGCCGTAAGTAGGCCACGCTGTTGCGGCCTGGCATGCCTGAGCGGTAGATTCCCGGCGCCACGAGACCAAAGTTGAGCGGAGGCTCGTGTGCTTGCGCCATGGAGAATTTTACAAAAGAATTCAATCAGCGCGTCTCTCTCACAGCACACAGGCTCGAGTGGAAATCCAGTTGTCAGATGTCACGATGCATCCGAAGGGGACCCCAGCGCCGGCATCATCCGTAGAGGCACGAGTGTTCGAAGAGAGAGTGGACCTGAGCAACAACATGACCTGTAGGCAAATGATCGGAGTGGGAGTCAGAAACGTGGTCCTTGCGCGAGGGGAGCTCGATAGACTCGAGGGGCCAGGATACGCCGCGAGGAGGACGGAGTTGCGCCGAAAGGCGAAAGAAGCCGCGAGAACAAGGGACCGGCAGGCGGCGGCGTCACAGGACGAGGCAGAAGGGAACGACGCGACAGAGGAGGAAATGACAAGGGAGAGAACGACGAGAGTGGGACGACCGCGAGGTGGCATGAAGGTTGCAGCGAGAATCGGAGAGAGACTGCGAAGAGAGATAGGAAGAGGCAGACTCCCTAGGGTGGGCGACGGCTAGCGCACCACACACCTCTCCTTAAAATCCCTGTGTGGTGGCGGCGTGCCGTCCTCCCATCCCTCCCTTGGGTTGTCTGTTTTCTTTCTTTCTTTCTTTTACACAGGCTCGACAGGTGCGAACTGAATTTTATAACAAAACTCCGCCGCACACAAAGAGAAAGCGGATACCTTCACCCTGACAGCTGGGACGGCCCAGGCACGACGGCAAGAAACCCAAGGGTGAAGCGGATACCGGTTGTATCAGAGGGGGGGGGGGGAGAGGCAAGCGGGCCCAGATCTGCTCGTCTCAGAGGGTACCCTCTGTGCCAAGAGAGGCCATCCACGAGCGGCTCAGAGGGTGCCTGGGCCGACCCTCTGAAGGCCTGTGCCGCCAACAGCCTTCTCTCGGCGCAGCCTCTGAGGCTACGGGGACCCTCTGAGACGCCAAGGGGCAAGCCCCGCGAGGCCGCTCCTCAGAGGGAGTTTTCAGCGGTATTTCAAGTCTGTCGTGATCCCCCACCAAGCAGAGAAAGTCCCCCCCAGTTTCCATTTTTCGGACACCTCAAGTTCGAGTTCACGCGGACGCCGTGGCGCCTCAACATGGCCAAGCTGGAGCAGGGGACGGGGACGTGGAGATCACTACCTCCTCCTCGGGCGGCCGCTCCAAGCACATCCTCGAGTTGACGGGTCGGCGCCGCGGGCCGCGCGAAGCTGTCGCGCAGGGCTCGGCGCGGGCGCTGTGAGCCTGCAGCAGCAGTAAGCGTGTGTGGTGCCGGGCACTCGAGCATAGCGTAGCGCCTTGCCCTTGGTCATGCTCGCTGCTTAAAGTCATAATGATTTACTACCGCCCCTCCCCGCCCTCACTGGTCAGCGCCGTTCGTGGAGGGCTAGGCAGCTCCGCCTCCGCCCGGGGCTCTCGCCTCTGCCGTGAGGGGGCCACCCTCTGAGGTCAAAGCCCTCTGTCCGCCGCGCCAAGACGGACCATCGGCCAGGGACCCTCTGAGGCCAAAAGCAGCCAAGAGAGGCCATAGAGGCGGCACAGAGTCAGAGTCAAACCCTCTGAGCCGCCAAGCCAGGGGTCCGACCCGTCCTCAGAGGGGGGATCTGAGCTCTGAGGCCTCCGAGAGTGAACAACCCCCTAGTAAGCGGATAGAAAACAAGAACACAACGCACTCTCTCACATGACTAGCGATCCCACGACAGCGAGTGTGGGGACTACATGATCCGTACGTGAAGGGTGGAGGGGCCCGTCCGCAGAGCTAGGCGCGGGCACCCCCCACTGGGACCGAGGCTCAAAGAAAGCGTGGATGAAAAGAAAGAAAGAAAGCATCCGGCCCAAGGTAGGGATGCGGATGGGAGGACGGCACGCCGCCACCACACAGGGATTTTAAGGAGAGGAGTGTGGTGCTAGCCTAGTAAAGAAAGAAAGAAAGAAAACAGACAACCCAAGGGAGGGATGGGAGGACGGCATGCCGCCAGGGTGTGGTGCGCTAGCCGTCGCCCACCCTTGGGCGTCCGCCTCTTCCTATCTCTCTTCGCAGTCCTTCTCCGATTCTCGCCTATAAATAAATAGAGCAGTCTCGCCTAGTGGAGTCGGGCAAAGCTATTTCTTTTCCACCCATGGTGCCCCCTCCGCCTGCCTCTCCCCACCACACGCACCGCCGCGCGCGCTGATGGCCTGCACCCCCGCCTCCGCAGTCCGACTCGAGCGCGGTCGGCGCGCTCGCCGCCGCGGGCGGCGGAGTCCTCTTTGCGAGCGGGTGGCTGGTGTGGATCGACGGGGTCGCGGCGGCCGCAAACGACTACGGCTTTGGCACGCCGGGCGCGGACTGGGTGCCCGGCATCCTGCAGACGGTCGCGCTTCTCATGGTGAACGCGATCACGTGGAGCGCGATGGCGGACGGCGGGTTTGACGACTCCGTCGCGCAGAAGGTGAAGGCGTGGGTCTTTGTCTCGTTTGTGTTTGCCTTCTCCGGCCTGATTGCGTCCACGTACATCCTGGTCCGAGAGTCCAACTCGCCCACCGCTCCCGGCTCTCATGACTCGGCCGTACGAGGCCTTTTGCAGAACCTGCTGATCTTCGGAAGCTCGCTGCTCTTCCGGGCCGGCAGGCTGTCGGATGGCGATTGATTGACGCGCGGCGACGCACTTCCGTTCCCTTCCGCCACGCCGCCGCCGCTACTGTTGCCGCTAGGTGTTCACCGCCTTCCGCGACATTATTGTGCGCGATAGTATTGAGCAGCCGCGACACGTATGTGGTCTACATCGCGGTCCCGCCAATTCCTGGCCGATTCGCGATTGCGATTCTCTCTCTGGTGACTGGTCCGGGGCGCGCGGTGCTACACAGACCGACGCAACACCGTTGACCGAGTTATCACAAAACTGAAACACACAACTCCGCGCTCACGCGCCACTGTTGGTCCGCCAGAAGAGCCTCCGCTTGTGGATCGCGCTCTGCGGCACCGTCCCGTTGCGCTGCGCCGCTCGCTGCGCCGCCCGGAGGTGGCGCGGCTGCAGCGGGCCCTCCTCGCCCGCCTTGGTCGCCGCCTCGCGCGCCGTCTCGACCAGCTCGCCGACGTACGACTTTGCGAGCGAGGATAGGATGATGGCGCAGCGCTCGGTCGAGCTGCCGACGACGTCCTGCATCAGCTTTCGCATGGCGGCGCGCGGGAGCTTCGAGCGCTTGTACTGCTCGAAGCGCTCGAGCTGCTCCTCGGATGCGACCCTCGCAAACTCAAAGTAGATCTCGCTGCGCAGCGGGGGAGAGCGCGGTGGGCGCGCTGCCTCGGTCGCGAACGCGGGGCGCGCGGGCACGCCTCATGCGAGTGCTGTCGGCGCCCCTCCGCCGCTCGAGCCGCTCCATGAGATCGTCGTCCTCCTCGTCCTCCCGCCGCTCGCGCTCCGCGTCCACGTCGGGCGCCGCCGCGTGCGCGCGTTCACTCATGTTCATGTATACGACCACAGCCTTGTTATGAGAAGAAAATACCTGTATGGCGCTGGTCTGAGAGGTTGAGGTGCGAGCCCTGGAGGCCCTGGGGATGGGGGCAGACTACCCGCGGGCCTAGAAGGCCCGCGCGCAGGGGGGTGGGACATTGAGACCTACACACACGTTTCCTCCCTCGCTCGCCACCTCCCAGAGAGATGCTAAAAATCTCTCTCTCCGGCACGCGTCGCTGGGTTCCTCCCAGCTCCCAAACACAAAACAACACACACACACAGCTCCCACCCCTTCCACCCCACCATCGCCCCCGCCACCCGCCCCACCGCCTCCTTCACCGCCTCGCCCCGGTCCATCCACCCTTTCCAAACCCGCCGCCGGCCGCCCTCGCCGCCCCCGCCGAGCCGCTCAGAGTCGCTCAGAGCACCGACTTCCCGATTAAGCTAGGACCTAGGTTAATCAGAGGGCAGATTTGGAGAGATCTCGAGGAGTACATACAGAGACAGACCCTCCAATCATGAGAAAACTCTAACCTGATCGGTCGTACTGACCGCCGACAGATCACTCCAGACAGCAGACAGGCCGACGTCTGCACGCGGCCGGCCAGGCGAGAGGCTTGACACGATCCGACCCTGCGACCCTGACGCTGCTGCTCTAGCTATCAGACATGCGCTGCTGACTGCTGCCACAATGTGCGACCGGTGCTGGCCCACTTGGCGGCCTTCCCGGTCAGTGGTGAGGCGCAGTTCAGAGCTGTCGATGGCGCGATGCCGCACTGGTCCCACATTGGTGACACGAGAGCAGACCACCACGTTTGCCGGTCCAAGAGAGAGGCACCGGCGCTGTCCTGAGAAGGTGCGTGGTCCTCTTGACTGCCCATGCGCGCGAGGCTGTGTAGGCATAGCCTCGAGAGTGCCAGCAGCCAATCCGAGGCAGTTTGTGACGCGCATTGCGTCACAGAAGCGTGCACGCGCTGGAAGGACACCTTCCTAGGAATTCCTACTGGCCGCACGATCAGGTCGTCACTGAATGCTGAATACTAAGGCCGTGAGCTATGCAGGTGGTCAATTGTGCAGCAGGGCACGGTCAGCAGCGCCGACAGGCTGTCGCAAGGGCGTGATAGCATGGCCGCAAGTACGGCGAATTCCCATGAAAACAAGTGAAAAATCGCGCAAACAAAGACCCCCCCCCCCAAAAAAAATCGGCGCCTGCGGCGGGCTGGGGGACCCCATCTCCCCCCCGCATGGGTACCCCCTAGTGGCCCCGCCTCCCCCCAGAGCTCCCTCGCCACCAGAATATAGTAACACGCAAACAAAAGTGTTCGCTGCGCGAGAACGGGAGTCGTTTTGGATTTCTCTTTGCTTGCGGGCCAGAGCGCGTCTGTGACTTCGCGGATTTTCTTGTTCTTTTTCCGCGAGGGAGTGGGCTTGCAAAATTCTTTTTCCCTTTTGGCTGAGAGCGTCTTTTGCGCGAGTCACCGTCAAGCTGGCTGGCGACAAATGCGCGAGAAGCAGACACGACCCGATGGCCCCGGCCTGCTCGAGCTCGTGAGCAAGCACGCGCACGAGACCTGCTTCGAGCTCACGCTGCCGAGCCAAGCTCAGCCAGGTTCCTGCGCCCCTGCGCGCGGCGCGCGATTCGCGAGCGAGCCGCTTTGCCTCGCGCCTTGCAAGCCCCTCGCCCACGACCTCCCGTCCCGAGAGCGGGCGGTTGACGCGGCTGCCAGCCTCCCCTCCCCCGAAATACCCGCCGCCTTGTTTTGGCCCACCCGCGGCCCAAACTCGCTCAGGCGACGCCGTGCGCGTCAACATCGGCGTGGGGTGGACAGTGGACGTGCCCGTGCCTCGCGACAAGATTGGCGGCGACACGGTGCGGCTGGCGGTCCCCCCCGCGGCCCTCGAGACGGTGCTCGTCGCCGCCAACGGCACCACCCAGCGGGCCACCCTCTCCCTCGACGCGTCGCACCCCCTCCTGGCGCAAAAGACGGGCGCCGGGGCGCTTCTCCTGTCGGCCGGCTTCTCGATCACGACGCCCGCGGGTGGCGGGGTGGTGCCCGTGTCGATGGCGACGTCGGACGGACTCGCCGCCGCCCTCGAGGGCTCCTACTCCCCCGCCTCGTCCGACGGCGAGCCCGACTCCGAGGACGGCGAGGAGGAGGAGGGTGGCGGCGGCGGCGGCGCGGCGGGGAAGCTCAGCGAGCTCAGCGAGGAGGCGCGGCATCGGCGCGGCACGGGCTGGAAGACAGCGCGGCGCATCCGGTGCGGCGGGGGCGACCGCTTCCACGCGTGGGTCCGCCGGCCGGGGCACACGGCGGCGGACGGCGGGCCGGGCGCGCAGCACGCGCAGCTCGGCTCGCAAGGCGCTTTGCGGGCTCTGGGAGCGGGAGAGGAGGCGGGGGGGCAAGGGCGGCAGCAGGGAGGCTTGGAGGCGGGGGGGCTCGCCTCGGGCTTCAGCAGCGTCGGCTCCCATCGCTCGTGGCACGAGGCGGAGCGGGCTTGCGCGGCGGCGGGCGGAGGTCGCGCGGCGGCTGCGCCAGAGGGGTTACCCTCCCCGGGACCCTCCACGGGCGGCGGCGACCCCTCGCCACTGCCGCCGCCCCTGCTGGGCGGAGAGGCGGCCCCGCTGGGGTGGGGCGACCTGCGCACGTGGACTCCGCCCTCGCACCCTCCCTCTCCTCTCCCGGCGACCGCCGACGCACCCGCCGACGCGGCGACGCGGCCCTCGCCCGTGCGACCCGTCGCCGGCACATTTACCTTGCCGGAAGGCATCTTCGGCGCAGAGCCCGCCGCCGCTGTGTCGCCGCCGCCGAGCGCGGCGAGCACCGCGGAAACTGCGCCGGCGGCGGAGGAGGTTGCGGCGCCGGCTGCGGCGGCGGCGGGGGCGGCTCGAGTCGCGGACGAGACGCTCGAGGACGCGGCGGAGCAAGAGGCGGCACCGGAGCCGATGAAGGAGGAGGCGGGTCTGGCCAGCGAGACCGCGGCCGAGGCGGATGAGGCGTCGGTCGTGGCGGAGGCGCTGGAGGCGGAGGAGGCAGCCTCAGCGATCGCGATGACAGACGCTTCCGTCCCTTCCGCCGAACTCGCCGCTGCTGCGGCGGTGGTGGCGGCGGCGGAGCCGCAGGAGGCGGGAGAGGCGGCGGAGGCAGAGGCGCCAGCGGAGGCGGCGGAGGTGCAGGAGGCGGCGGAGCCAACTCCAGCCGGGGAGGCGATGGATGTGGGGATGGATGCGGCGGCGGGGCAGGCGAGCGAGGCCGCGCCGGCGGGGGCGCCAGCGGTGGCACCGGCGGGGTCGGCGCCAGGGCTGCCGGAGGAGAGCGAGGTGCCGACGGCGGAGGCAAGCGAGCGGGAGGTGCTTGCGGCGGCGGCTGCAGACCTGGCGGCGAGGGTGCGGCTGGGCGGCGCGCCGCCGCTGCCGCTGCTGCGACGGAGCGAGGCGCCGCCGCCACCCCCAGACCCGCTGCCGTCGCAGAACCGGAAGTGGACACCGCAGGAGGACGCGATCATCCGCGAGGGCGTGCGCCAGTTCGGGAAGAAGTGGCGCCGCCTCTTGCCGATGCTCGACGAGCGCTCCGAGGACTCGGTACGCGACCGCTGGGCACTGCTCGAACCGACTGAGCCCGCTCTGGAGGCAGCGGAGGTCCCGCCAGCGGAGGCGCCTCCAGCGGACGCGCCAGCATCGGCACCGGCGGCATCGGCGGCGGCTCCGGCGGGGGCGGCCGAGGAGACGGGCCGGAGCGAGGAAGAGGTGGCGGCGGCGTGGACAGTCGGCCTCTCGACCGAGTACAACCTGCCGTACTACGCCAACGCGCTGCTGCAGGAGTCCACTTGGGAGGCGCCCAGCGAGGAGCTCGCCGCGTACGGCCGCGCGCTGACGGCGGGCCAGCCTGGCGCGGGCCAGCCTGTCGCGCCGAAGCAGAAGCGCGGCTCCGCCTCTGGGCCTGCAAAGCGACGCGGCAGCGCGGGCGAGTCGAGCACCGCCTCGCTCATTCACGAGAGCGCGCTTCCGCCCGGCTACTCGCGCGTGCAGCGCGGCAGCCTCCGGGCGAACTACCACTACGTCTACTTCGCCCCCGACGGCACAAAGACGAAGAGTCGCGCGGCCGCGTGGGAGCACTACTACTCGCGCACGGGCGGGGGCGGCGATAGCGACGAGGAGGAGGCGGCCGAGGCGGCGCAGGGACCACGCGAGCGGACGGACTCGTGGACGGCGGAGGAGGACGCCACTCTCTGCGAGGAGGTGCGGCGCAACAGCAGCAGTTCTGGCGGTGCCCGGTGGGAGTCGGTCCGCCAATCGCTGCCGGGCCGCAGCGCCGACGCGGTGAAGAACCGCTGGCGGCGGTTGGAGAGGGCCGGCGTCACCGCGCCCGCCGCCGCCGCGCCCTCCGCCGCCGCGCCCTCCGCCGCCGCGCCCGGCTCCGCCGCCGCCGAGTCGGAGGTGGAGATCGAGGTGGAGATGGGCGAGGAGGACGAGGAGGAGGAGGAGGAGGAGGGGGGGGAGGGCATCAGGGGTCGCGGATCCGTGAAGGGGGCGTGGTCCGAGCACGAAGACGCGGTGCTGCGCGAGCGGATGACAGAGGGCAGCACCGGGCGGACGGCATGGACGGTCATCGCCTCGAGTCTGCCGGGCCGCAGCGGGAAGCAGGTGCTCCGCCGCCGCCTCGCCATCCTCGCTGCCAATCGCCCTCGGCCACCCTGCCCCCTCCCTCCCTCCAGCCTCCCTTCCCAAGCTCCACCCCCCTTGGCCACGCCCACGCCACAAGCGACACTCCCCCCTTGCCTCTCCCTCGCCTGCAGTGCCGCGACCGGTGGCACAACCATCTCCACCCCGACCTCGTCCAGTCGCGGTGGACGGAGCAGGAGGACGGCATCCTCCTCGAGGCGCACGCCGAGCTCGGCAACAAGTGGGCCGAGATCGCGAAGCGGCTCCCGGGCCGCGCCGACAACGCGATCAAGAACCACTGGGACAGCTCGAGCTGCAGGCCGGCTAGGCTGGCGCGGGCGGCGGTCGAGGCCCATGCCGAGGGCTCCTCCTCCTCGGGCCGCGCCTCGGGCCGCGCCTCTCCCAGCCGCTCCCCTGCGCCGGGGGGGGCGGCCGAGGCGGGGACCGCGGCGCGGGTTTGGGCGGGCGCCGACTGGAGGGAGCATGGCGCCGCCCGCTCCCTCCTGCAGTCGCGCCCACAGGGCTTGCGCGGGCGGTTGCACCCGCGGACGCACCCGCTACGAGGAGGGCTCGGCGATGCGCTGTGTGCCGCCTGCCACGGGGCGCACCGGTCCCACACATGCGGCAGAGAGGGGCGGCGCGGCCGCGCCCCCCTCCCTCCCACGCGTTCGGTGGCGGCCGCGCGGAGCAACGCCCGAGGCGCTCCCACACAGCCGGCCACGGCGCCGCAGGCGCGGAAGCGCCCGAGCCGCCCGGCGCCCAAGCTCTCGGTCTACCCGCTGGACGACGCGGCAGACGAGGAGGGCGAGGAGGGCGAGGAGGGCGAGCTCGGCGACGGCGCGCCGCGCAAGGCTCGCCGCATCCTGCTGGATCCGAGCTGCCTCGGAGGCGCCGTCGACGCGAGGGCAGTGCTGTGCGGGCCGGATGCGCTTGTCGACGCGCAGATCCTGGCGTACTCGCCGGCCAAAGCGGAGGGTGGCTCGCTGGGCAGGGCGAAGGCAGCGCCCTTCGACCCGCCGAGGCGCGTGGCGGCGCTCGCAAAGTCGCGAGCGATCGCGGAGGCGGCCGGTGATGGCCGCGCCAAGCCGCCGCCGGCGCAGGCGGCGCGCTCTCCAGCCGTGGGTGCCGCGGCGAGTCCGAGGCTGCCGCCGTTTGCACGGGCGACGGGAGGGGCGGCGTCGAAGTCCACCGCCGGCGGCGCCGTGCGGACCATCTCCATCATCGCACCGAATGCGATGAGGCGCGGCGAGAGGGTGCAGGCCGCGCTGCCCGACGGCCGCTCCGTCTTCCTCACTCTGCCCGCCGACGTGCGAGCCGGGCAGAGGGTGGTGGCCAAGGTGGGTGCGTCGACGCAAGGGTCCGTGCGGAAGAATGCCGCCCCGCCAACGCCCATCGTGCCGTCGGGCAGGCTGCCTCCCCCGATAAGGAAGGGTGTGGCGCAGCGGCGGCGGCCGCCGCCGCCGCCGCCGCCACCGCCGCCGCCGCCGCCGCCGCCACCGCCACCGCCGCTGCCGCCACCAAAGCCGCCCGCTGAGGCTCCAATTAGCTCTCTCGCGGCAGCCATCGCTGCGGAGCGCCAGCTCCTCGCGGCCTACGCCCCTCCCCCGCTGAGACCACAGCGCGTCACTCCGCCGGGCCTAGCGCCGGGCCCTCCGCCGCCTGCCAACGGCTCTATGGCCAGCGGCTCGCCTGCTACCGGCTCGTCAGCTGCCACTGCCCAGCCGCCGACCGCCAGCGTGCCGCGTGCCGCCCCCCTGCCGTCGCACGGTAGCGCGCCGCCTGCCGGCAGTGGCAACGGCGCCATCGTGTCTGGCTCGGCACGCTCGCTTGCGCCGACCCATGCGCCGACCTCGCCGCGGTCGGCAGCTCTCAACAAGGCAGCGCCGCCGCACCACCCTGCCCAGCTGTCGCCGCCTGCACCGATGCCGTCCCTCCAGCAGGGCCCCCTGGCCCTGCCTCCTGCCCAGCCGAATGGCGGCGCGCCGCCGTCGTCCCCAGCACCGCCAGCGGCGCCGGCGCGCAACCCAGCGCCGAGACCGGCGCCGGCGCGCAATTTTGTCTTCCGCTGCGCGCAGTGCGACACCATGCTCGCGCTCGCGCTGCCTGCTGGCCACGTCGGGACCACGGTCGCCCCCCCCCCCTCCCCCCTTTCACACCACCCCTCCCCACCACTCACCCGACCCCCCCACGTCCCTGCTTCGCATCTTCTGAGACTCGCGCCGTGTGTATACGATAGGCTGTTGCGGACTGCGCCAAGTGTGGAGCAGTGCTCGACGTCAACGTTTCGCAGGGGCGGTAATCGTGCGACTCTTCTAGGCATGCACCATGCGTTGTGGCTGTTGCAGCCGAACGTGCATGCGTGGTGTGACGCGTGGACTACAGAGAGTGAGAGTCGCAAGGAGACTCTTTGTGTTTTAGATGCGGTGTTAGAGGTGGATCTGGAAGGGTGTTTCGTGTGACGTGTGTGAGTTGCAGCGAGTTGTGTCTATCTGCGCGGCGCGATGGCGCGTCTGTGCTGTGGTCGGGCTCGCGGCGCACCGGCGAAGCCGTTCGGCAGGCGCGTCACGCCCGGCGAGAAGCCGAGAGCCGCCGTGAGCGTGGCAGCCAGCATTCGAAGCTCCTGGAGAGCGAGCTCCAAATGAGCGGCGGCGAACACCCTGGGTTCCCTCGTTCCACAGTGAACAACTCTTGATGAATCGAAACTTCGTGGAAGGCCCATCGCGATCGCCGTCACAAATCTGGATGCGCGGGGGGGCGGGCGACCGGTATCCGCCCGCACGCTCCGCGGGATAAATCAGTGGAGGTGACAGGTGGGTGTGGGAGGGTGTGGGAGGGTGTGGGTGTATTGGGCGGGGGGGGGGGGGTCTCATAGATGGCGATCGAGTGGGGCACAGATAAAGGCCTTCTGCGTGAAAACGGAACTACGGAAGTCGTCGGCCCGACTCGTACGATTAGAGAGATTACGTCCGTCCCGAATCGCCAGATCGGCAAAACTTGTGGACTGGAGGTTCTCGCGGCACACGAAATATGGCTGAGCTCGTGGAGTACGCGGCCGCCGGCCCGTCGTCATCGTCGCAGGAGCCCGAGCCGCTCAGGCCGCCAGCCAACCCCGACTCGGCAGCTGCGCCGGCGCGACGCTCTTCCAGGAGAAGCCGCAAATCAACACACGCCCCGGAAAATCCCAGAGGCCCACCGACCCCTGCCATGTTTGCAGTGCTCACCGGTTGCGTCGCCGGTATGGTGATTGCGCTGGGGACCCTCTCGAATGAGCCCCCCGCGGCCGCGGCGCAGGGCGGAGGGACTGGAGTCACTGCGCAAGGAGGGGCTGCGAAGCCTTTTTTCTTTTTGTCCTCTCGGGAGAATGTTCTCTCGGCGCCCATGGCCTTCTGAGGTTTCGTACTAATGACGTCCTTCTTGGCACTTCGGGCGTCGGGGTGTGCGTATCTGTGTGTCTAATTCCTCCGGTATGCTACATAGGTTTCCGAACCGATGACCTCCCTTCAACCGCAGCGTGTCTTGCTGGATGCCTTTCCGCTAGCGGAAGGTCCCCAGTTCGAAACCTGGTTGACCCTTATACTTTTTGTTCACACCTGAGCGGGCTCAATTTTGCTCAGAATGCGCGGCGAATTCAAGACCCCCCCTCGCCGCGCCGATCCTCACCGCCGCGGACGTCCATTTTTGGAGCTTGGAATACGGCGTATTCCATGGAATACGTGGAATACGGGTGGAATACGGGTGGAATACAGGCCTCTGGGAGGTCATTTGGAATACGTGGAAAACGTATTCAGACAGTAGGGTTGGGAGTGTCTTCGGCTCACGCCAGGGCGCTCGTTGCTCCTCCGTCTCTTTGTATCTTCCATACTGCATTTATCAGAAGACGTATGGTTCTTGCACTTGTGCAAGATTGGGCGTCTTCTGCCGCAGTCCCTTTGATGGGAGGCCCCAGGGTGGGGGCCACCTCGAACCCCCGGCCAGGGATTCGAGCGGAGGGTGCCCCGGATTCATCTATCCGTTGGGCCCCGGCACCTATTTTAGAACTGATCACTTTGCGCAGCAACCGTCGGCCGCCGCTTTTTAGCTGGACGGCGGTACGCTGCGCCGTCGCTCTGCCGTGCACGCTCTCGTGCCTCGTTGTTGTGACCCACCCTGTCCCACCCGTGTGTGATCAGTGTCTACGGAGGGAGTGTCTTCGGCTCACGCCAGGGCGCTCGTTGCTCCTCCGTCTCTTTGTATCTTCCATACTGCATTTATCAGAAGACGGAGTCGCTTACCGTCGGGTACTTATTTTAAGAGCAGGTAAACAGCAATAGATCCGGGTGTAGTGCCGGATCAGTTCCTGGAGCCAGGGGGACCGATTCGCGCTTGCCAAGGGACCAATTGCTAGACACCGGGGGGGGGAGGGGGTACACTACAGGGGGGCCCGCACAGGTGGGCGAGCCAAACTCTGGCGGAGGCAGCCCGCTCACCCCCAGGCGCCCCTCGAACCGGAGGGTGGTCTGCCGCCGCTGCGCGGTCGGCGCGCCGAGCGCGGGAGACATATCAGCTTCGCGCCACAGGTGGGGGGACCGATTCTCAGCAAGTTTGGCAGCGCGGGCAGTGTGAAGGATCGATTGCTGTACAACGAGGGACCGATTCCGTGAGGGCTGGGTATCGATTAGGCCGCTTGAGGGCCGGATCTATTGCTGTTTACCTGCTCTTAAAATAAGTACCCGACGGTAGCCAGGGAATGCGGGCACTTGGATCTCACACGCCGTCTCACAGCGGTGCTTGCGAGCGCGCGCGCGCCTCCACGACCGTCGTGCGGGGCGAACTGGGTGCCCCTCAGGCGCCCGCTGCTGCGCCCGCACCCGACACCGCCGCCCTCCCTCCCACACCGCCCGCACATCACATGCACCCGACGCTGAGCGAGCGAGCGCCGCGCGCAGGATGTCGCGCGGCGGCAAGCGCTCTCGTGCACCGGGCACACCTGCGGCTGGCGCATCTGGCGCACGCGGCGCACGCGGCGCCCGATCCACCCCTCGCGCCGCCGCCGCTGACTTGAACCTTTGCCGCTCCCCCGGGCGTACATGACGCCTTCCTGCAGCAGCAGATGGACGGAGACGGCTACGTGCCCCTCTCCCTCCTCAACGGCGAGATTAGATGAGATTGTCCGAGATTGGCTGCGGTTAGCCGCGATGGTTGCGCCCCCCCTCTCCCTCCCTTAACGGCTTCAGCCGCCTCGGTATGTGCCGACTGTGCCTCTGTTCACACGCCTGGCTGTGAACAGGCTTCAACCGCATGCGCCGGCTCGAGATGCCGATCTCGGAAGTGGCGACCGCCGTCGTGTCGCTCTCGTGAGCTGCAGCGAGATGGGGCGAGATGGGGCGAGATGGGGCGAGATTTGGGGCGAGATGGAGCGAGATGGAGCGAGATGGAGCGAGATGGGGCGAGATGGGGCGAGATGGGGCGAGATTTGGGGGGAGGAGACACGGCGTGGTAGGGCGAGATACGGCCGAGGTGCGGCGAGGTGGAGGGAGATACGGCGAGATGTGGTCAGGTGGAGCGAGATTAGGAGGTAAGGCGGCATGGCGAGAAGGGCGTGGGCTTGCCGCGCCTCTTCACAGGCTGCCGCTGTGAACAGGTCGGCGCTCGAGGTGGACGAGGCGCGGGAGAGGGTGCGGGCGGCGGCGCGGTGAGCAAGAGGATTGACTTGAAGAGAGGCGGGGGAGGAAGGGGGGGGGGGGGGGTCGGCTGTCGCGGCATGGCAGCGCGACGCCGCGCGATTGCTTTGTACGTTGCGCGCCGGCCTCTCCGCTCGCTCGCTGGTAACTCAGCTAACACTACAGTCTACGCAGGCCCGCGCGACGCGCGACGGGATGGAGTGGGGTCTGGGGATGGAGACCGGGAGTGGGGTGAGAGCGCGGCAGGGCCGTGCAGCGCCCAGGATGCGCCATAAGGTAACTGACTAAAAAAGATTCAGGCGTCCCGTTTGTGCAAATCAACATTCCCTCCCCAAACCGCTTTCCCTGGACCCCCCGCGGCATCTGGGGCCGGGGGCCGTGCTCACAGTCACACGTGCACAGCGTGCAACACACCAATCCGAAGCGCGCCGAGAGACGCAGACCCCCCCCCAACCCCCCCCCGCCCCCCACCCCCACCGCCGCTGTGCGTCGTGCTCCGCAGCCGCAGGGTCTGTTGCTCTCTGCCGTGCTCGCGCGGCGGTCCCGCAGGAACCCGCGCCCTCGCCGCCCGGCCGCGGCTGGAGAGGCTCAGCGCAGCTCAGGCAGCTCGATGCCGCGCTCCTCGCACACGGCCACCAGCTCAGGCTGCTCCGTGTTGTCCACCCAGAGCGCCTGCACGCGAGGGGAGGTGCGATGAGCATTGGGCGGGGGAGGGGCGTGTGGCGAGGGGAGGCGTCTCGCGCCTTCAGGCTCGGGGCGGCCCCCTCCTTGCCGAGGGCGGCGGCCAGCGCCTTGCAGCCCTCGTCGCCAATCTGGTTGCTGTTGAGCCAGAGCCTCTCGAGCCGCGGCGCTGCCCCCTCCTTGCCGAGGGCGGCGGCCAGCGCCTTGCAGCCCTCGTCGCCAATCTTGTTGCCGTCGAGACCGAGCTCCTCGAGCCGCGGCGCTGCCCCCTCCTTGCCGAGGGCGGCGGCCAGCGCCTTGCAGCCCTCGTCGCCAATCTCGTTGCCGTCGAGATCGAGCTCCTCGAGCCGCGGCGCTGCCCCCTCCTTGCCGAGGGCGGCGGCCAGCGCCTTGCAGCCCTCGTCGCCAATCTTGTTGGCGACGAGATAGAGCGTCTCGAGCCGCGGCGCTGCCCCCTCCTTGCCGAGGGCGGCGGCCAGCGCCGTCCAGCCCTCGTCGCCAATCTTGTTGAAGCTGAGACCGAGCCTCTCGAGCCGCGGCGCTGCCCCGCTCGCGAGGACCTCCGCCAGCTGCGCCGCCTCCGCGTCGCCCCAGCCGAGGCGGGCGTAGTCCAGATTGGTCGCCTTGCCAAACTGCTCCTTGAAGGCGGCCTCGTACAGCCGCTTCACGAGCGGCTTGTCGTCCTTGCCGTTGGTGAAGCTCTTCTTTTCCAGCTCCGCCGCAAACGCAGACGGCAGCAGCGGAGGGCGCCGGCCGCCGGCCTTGGTGCAGTCGTCGACGAGGCTGTCGCTGCCGTACTCCTCGCCGGCGCGCATCTTGCCGAGGTCGAGCGAGAGGTAGCCAGTCTTTGTCAGGCCAGCCCAGCACTGCTCCGTGTAGCACCAGCCGCGGTCAAAGTACTTGGCCACGTTGGTGCCCTCGGTCTGCTCCTCCGCCTTGTGGCCGTCCGGGAAGGAGGTCAGCCGCAGCACCCAAGTGTGCTGGTGGGAGTAGAGCGTGCCGAGGCAGCCCAAACCCTGCTTGAAGAGCGCGTTCTGCTCCTCGGTGCGCAGGACGCCGTTGGGGGGGTCGGGGTGCTGGTGCAGCGAGCCGAAGTCCCAAAACACGCCGAGCCGCGGGATGTCGGGATCGCTGAGCAGGGCCTTGAGCGCCCTCGCGACGCGGGCGAGGTTGGCTCCGCGCGGGTCGGGGTGGTCCTTGGTCAGCCACGGGTAGGAGAGCGCGGCGACGGGAAGGTCATGCTTGCCGGTCGCCTCGACGAGGTCGGCGAGGGGGAGGAAGGCCTCTTTGGGCAGCGCCTGGCGGTGGGAGAGGACGCCGCCCGCCTCGGCGTGGCGGATGACCCACTGCGCGTCGAGGACGGCGACGGCGCCGCTCGCGAGGACAGGCTCCAGGTCGCCGCCGCCGCGCTTGCGTCACAGCTCCAGCTTCCTCTCGTCCACGCCAGGAATGCCGGAGGCGTCAGCGGCGCCGGCCAGCCGCCAGTGCCGCAAAGCTAGTACGAGCACTGCGGCCTTCGGACTGGAAGAAGAGCGGGCGTCGAGGCGGTGCCTCGGACGGATGTACCTCATGATCAGCTCGCGCTCGTGCATGCGCCGCTTCTGCTCGTGCATGCGCCGCTCGCTGTCGGCGGCGACGCGGGCCAGCCGCGCGTGTCGCACGGCGAACAGTATGATCGAGGCTTTCGGCCCCGAGCAAGATGGGTGCACCGCCGGGCCGGAGGGGATGAGGCGCACCCGGCGAAACTGCGGCGCCTGCGGCCGCAGCAGATGCCGCTGAGGCATGCCTCCTCCGGGTCGCGGGGGCATGCCTGCACCTGCAAACGGGCGGAATCGGCGGCGTTGGAGGCGTGTCACGGACGTGTGCGGCGGTGTGTCTCTATCAGCAGGGTTGTCGTGGCCGGGTGTCTTGGAAGTGGCTGCTCACCGCCCATCGGCCCTCCAGAGCGGGAGGAGAAGTTTCCGAAGCCCATTCCCCTCGGAGGCGGAGGCGGTCGGGAGGGCTGGAAGCCACCGGGCGCCGATGGCGGCTGCGTAGCACTCGCCGGCGGCTGCTCCGGCCGCGGCTGCTGCTCCTGGAGCGCGACGGCCCGCTGCAGCTCCCGCTGACCGGGCGCTATGACGCCACCTCTCGTTTCCGGCCTCGGCAGCCCGTCCATCGGCGGCGCAACCCCTCGCCGCGCCATCCGTGACGCCATCCCAAACGGAGAAGGCATCCCCGGCGGCGACATGCCCATGCGCAGACGCTGCTCGTCGAGCATTTTCAATTCGAGCTTCTCGCAGGTGAAGGCGTACCACGCGCACCACGCATCTAGCTTTCGCTCGTCAACACTGAAATCGGCAACCGCCGTGTCCTCGCGGCGGTGGAGGCTCATGAGCGGGTCTCACAAAATGCGAGCGCGTGGTTGTTCTCCGGTCGAGCACGCATGGTGCACACCCGGTTTTTTTTCTTTTTTTCGCGGAACCCCTAAGGCACTCACGCCCATTCGTCGACGAGTGGGTGTCGCCAACCAAAGCGACACGCACTCGAGGGTAGTGCCGACGGGACGCGGCTCGAGGGCGACTCTCGCGAAGGCACGGCTGGCAACCGTGGCGTGGGGCTGAGGCTACTTTTTCAGTCCGGAAAGTGAGGGGTGGCCACCCTCAGCATCGAGGTGTGCGCCAAACCACTTCGGCGGCGCGCGCTCCCCTGTGCGTCTGTGGCACCCTCCAGGCCCTCACACCCCCCCGGCATGTCCAACGGCAAGGAGGCTTCCGTGCCGAGTGACGCGGCGGCCACGGACAGACCCAGGGCACAAACGCCAGGCTACAAACACGGGGAGGCACGTAGTGACGCAAGGGAGTCTCGCAGGGGTGTGTTCAATCAAACTTGGCGAGAATCAGTTTTCGTGTGCTCTCTAGTCTTTTATGCATGGGGCAATTGATATGTCGTGGACGGACTCATACGGCGTTGTTTGGTCGCATCCCGACGTCGAGCCCACGGAAGAAGACATGGAGGCAGAGCACGAAATGGAAGTTGAATTGGCGTGCCGCGCTCGGACGCCACCCCGCCGGCACAAGGCCCGCAAGACCATCCCTGGGCAAGCGGCCTCCGTCCCAATCGTCAAGGTCATGAAAGACTCGTCCGGTCGCATCATTGGCTGCGCCAACATCGAATAGGCAAAAGGATGCGCGCGGGTGGTTGTCCGGCGCCGCGCAGGGTGTGGTTGTGGTTTGAGTCATTCGCCACGCCGTCAGGTCTCGCGCTCGCTTTTTTTTCTTCTATATGAAATGCCTCGCTCTTCACAGAATTTGAAGGCCTACCGACGGCCGCTGCATCGACGGACAACGTCCAAACCGTGCATGATCGAAGCGAGGCGCCTGGCGCGCGCGGCGCTGCAGCGAGCCCTCCAACATCTGAATGAGGAGGCTGGTGACAATTTTCACGGCGAAAAGAAGGTTAGGAACCAAACAAAAGCCTCATTGGCGGCTTTGCGAGATGTCATTTACGTCGGGTTTTCGGTAGCAGATACTATTGACACACGCGTTCAGACACACGTGAATGATTATCGGAGAGCGGGGGCTAGGGTCAACGTGTACATTAGTCGACGACGTAAAGATGGAGGCAAACTCGAACAAGAGCTGATGGAATATTTCAGAGCCAACATGATGCAAACATACCAGACGGGCGGCCTCGTCAACATACGAAGTAGCAAAGACAGGGGGAAAGCAGGGTACGTCTACGTCCTCGTGCGCGTGGCGTAGCAAAGAGTTCGTAAAATACAAGAGGCATTACGGGCGCTCGGATCACACGCCGTCCCCGAGGGAACGATTTTCCTACGAAGATTGTTGGAGGGCTACACTGGCGTGTTCGTCATCGCAAGCGTTGTACAGGCGCCATGAGCTGGGGCTGGGCTCTGGAGTCGCCAGTGCTCAGTGGTGGAGAGCGGAGTGTGAGCCCGATCAGCCCATCGAGACGGCGCATGTGGCGCAGGCTTCGCGGCGCAGATTGGCGCATCATCGCATGGAATCCGCGGGCGGTGGCGAGAGTGGTGGCTGTGTGATGGGAACGTGGTTATTGCTGGCTCGTGGTGGCAGCAGTGGTGCGTGGTGGTGCGTGGTGGTGCGTGGTGGTGCGTGGTGCGGGGCAGACTTGGTGCATGTGGCGCAGATTGGCGCATGTGGCGCAGATTGGCGCATCATCGCATGGAATCCGCGGGCGGTGGCGAGAGCGGTGGCTGTGTGATGGGAACGTGGTTATTGCTGGCTCGTGGTGGCAGTGATGGTGCGTGGCGGGTGGCACAGACGTCGAGGCAACGAGGCACCTGAGCGCGAGATGGTGACTTTGTGACTTCCCAAAAAAAAATCTCGACACACGAAAAGGTCGCTCCGCGACGACCCCAATGTTCCAGCAACGCCAACCAGCCGTCCTCGTCGTCACACTACGCCCGAGGCACCCTGGCCATGCTTCGCGAAACATGCCTTCGACTCCAACAACCGCATCTTTGACAGAGACGTTGTCTCTGGTTGCTGCATCGCGCACTGCACTGCGCTCGGCATGCGGCAGCACGGCGAGATGCGACCGCGTTGCTTCTGCAGCGCCGGCTCATGGAGGAAGAGGTGTATGTGAGTGAGGTGTGTCCAGAGTGTATTTTAGTCGAGTGGTCGATGAGAGGGACCCTTTGGGGAAACTCGAGACACTCCGTTAGCAGTTTGAGAGTAGTGGGTGTCAATTTGTGAATACCAAAAAAAATCGAGGAGAGAAACTCGAGACCTTTTTTACACAACGCACGTTTCAGCACGCTACGATCCTCATCCACATGACCGCCTCCGCCCTACACACCGGGCAATGCCGCATGCGCGCCGAGCATGCCTCGCATGCCGAGAGGTGCCCACACGGCACGCATGCGTGGCTCTTCGGCCTCGAGAAGCACACGATGCACGTCGTCTCGCCACCGAGGGTGGACTCGGGCACATCCGGTCGCCCCGTGTCAAAGTCGGCGTCGGCGAGCGAGATCGCCGCAGGGGCATGCGTGGCCTGACCAGCCACCGAGGCAGGCGCCTGCTCCGCCTCCAGCTCCACCACCGGCTCCGCCTCCAGCGTCGCTCCCCCCTCGAGCGCCACCGCAAGCTCCGCCACCGACTGCCGCGACTCGCCGCCCTTCTTCTTCTTCTTCTTCTTCTTCTTTGCCTTGGCCGCCGCCGCCTCCTTCTCAGTCTCGATCTCAGCCAGCAGCTCGTCGGCGTGTCGCGCCGCCTCCGCCTCCGCTGCAACTCGCTCTGCCTCTGCCTCCACTTCCACTCCCGCTTCCTGCACGAGGCCGCAGATTCCGAGGTCCCACTTGATGATGATCGAGGTCCCCGCCTTCATCTTGGTGAAGCGGGACGTGTGCTCGCCACACAGACACGGCATCGGCAGCTTGAGGACGGTCCCGGTGGGGTAGTCGGTGGGGAGCGTAAGGCGCAGCTTGGCGATCTGTGGCATGTTCGCGTCCTCGCAATCGTACACACGCTCCCAAGGCAGGTCGCGCGGGAGCAGCACGAAATCCGCGGGCGGCTCCTGCTCCGCCTCGCCCGCCGCCTCGATCGCCGCCCCGACCGACGCGCCAACGAGCGCGGCCTCTTGCAGCGCGCGACCGATCTGCCGCCGCTCCGCCGCCTCCGCCGCCTCCCGCCGCTCAACCCTCGATGCCGCAGCCGCTTCGGCAAGCGACGTGCAGCGAGCGAGGTAGGGCGACAGCGCCTCGGTCAACTCGACGTGAAGCTGCTCCTCGTCCTCTTCGTGGGAGTACGAGAATGTCTGAAGAGGCGGAATCCACAGGCACTCACCCTCCTCGTCCTTGTAGACGGTGACGCCGAAGCCGCCGACAAAATCGCCAGCAGCAAGAACCGGGTCGACGGCGGACGTACTCCACTGCCTGAGCGTCATCTCCGACATGACGAGCTTCGCGATTACAAAGTCCGTCCCACTGGTCGCGTCCTTCATCGCATCTAGTTCCTCTTGTGTCTCGTAGCCAACCAAGACAAAGACGCCGAGCGAGCGAAGGCACTCGATGCCGGCGAGGGTGAGGCGAATCTTGCGATCGATGTCGTCGCTCGAAGCGGCAGCAGCGGCGGCAGAGGCAGAGGCAGCGGCGGCGGCAGCGGTGGCGGCGGCAGCTCCGAAGCTCGATCGAACGTACGACTCGACGCGCGCACGCGGCGTGTCGTCGATGGGGGGGACAAAGGCCGGAAAGACTGTCGCCAACACGGCGTCAAAGGTCTGCTGCATGCTGCGAAAGCAGGGGACTGCAAGAACGTCGGAGCGGTAGCCGAGAATGCCGACGTATGAAGATCGCATCCGCTTCATCTCGCTCAGGGTGGCGATCCACGCACCGACCTTTTGCTTGATCTTTGCATGTTCGCGACGCATCTCGACGACGAGGCGAACGACCTCGCCTTTGATGGCGTCCTCGTCCATGTCGGTCACGTCCAAGCGCCTCGCGACGGAGATATTGCCGAGCATGACGAGGCCGAAGCCGAGCGCGTTCGGCTCACAGACCCCGTCGAAACCGGCGTATCGCATGTACGCGCGCGCCATCGCATCGTTGCGGGTCCACACGGCGAGGAAGAGGGTGGCGTCGGTCACCTCAGCGTCGTCCCCGAACGCGTTGAGCACGTCCGACTCGATCGCGTCCACGTCGTCCCGGGTAAGAAGGACCTTCTCCACCCGCGCCGCGCGAAGCGCCTGAATTGCCGTCCACGCCAAAACAGCTTCCTTACCGCTGTAGGATGCAGGCAGCATCGACGCGATGCGAAACAAGCCAGCCGCATCCTCGTAGTAGTCGATAATCGTTTTCATGATTCTCGAGACAGCGTCCGCGCTCTCGAAGAGTGCGACTCCAACGCCAGCAACTCCGTCGCCGCCGCCGAATTGCTGCTGCAGCACGACGTATCGGTCGGCGGCGTCGGTGTCGAAATCGGCAAGCGATGCGGCACCCCAGAGTCGAAGTCGGTAGGATCGAAACGCGTCGAGCGCCTGCGTGACTCCGAGGACGCGGTCGTCGTGAAGGACGTCGGAAAGGGCCTCACCGGTGAAGGCCGGGACGAGAAGGATGCCGGTGGAGAGGTGCTGGGCGAGGTCAGCGTCGGCAAAGGCGCTGTCGCGAAAGAGTGTGAACTTTGCGCCGGCGGCAGCGAGGCGAAGCAGCTCGGCGTCGCATGAGTCGACGCACGAGTCGGAAGACTCGATCATGCAGCGCACCTCGTTCGCGCTCTCGACGCTGCCGATCTGTCTCATGACGCGAAGCATCGCTGCCTCGGAGGTGAGGTTGGCGTCAAATGCGACAGGCTCAACCTCGTCCATCTTCGCATGCATGTGCGAGACAATGCGCCGCTTCTCCTCACTCGTGTACGCCATCTCGTGGTCGTCCTCGACGGCAAAAAAGTCGCGCAAAAGCTCCTCCTTCTTGTCTTCGAGCTGCTTGAGCGTCATGTTCTTGGCGAGAAGAGCGACGGTGACGAGTCGGAACTCGAGCGCGTCGAGGCGAGCGTGGGCCTCCTTGTACGGCTGGAGCGCCTCATGCGCCTTCTGCGTGGACTGGAGCGTCTCGTCGTCGTCCTCGGTGAGGAGAGCGGGGGGTGGCGAGAGAAGAAGGAGGCGCGTCCGCTCCGCCGCGGCCGTGTGGACGTGGATACCTGAGGGGAGAGAGAGGTATGTGAGGGGGGGGGAGGATTGCGGAGTGTGTGGCGCAAGGTGCGCACACCGATGCTGCCGATCGCATCTTGCTTGCCCTTGCAGTCGTCGAAGAAACCCCTCGCCCCTCGCTTCAACACCTCTTCGGAAGTGATGAGGAAGCCGCGGATGAAGTTGTCGACACCCACCTCCTTGTCGAATTCGGCCTCCTCGGTGACCGAGATGAGGATGCCAAGGTCGCGTAGGTTCTTGACTGCTCGCAGCGTCCTCTCCGCTGCCTGCTCAACCTGCTCGGCGCTCCAGTTGGGATAAGCGTCATTGAAGAAGGACGACACGAAGCTCGTCTCATCAATGTCGAGTTGGGCGGACATTCCGTCTCCCTGAGGGATGCAGCGGGGGGAAGGAGTGTCGAGCGGCGGCGGCGGCGGCGGCGGCAGATGCAGCGGCAGCGGCAGAGGTGGCGGCAGCGGCAGAGGCAGAGGCTATGGGGAGGCCGGCAGCATCGCGGCGGGCGGGCGCGGGCGCGCGGGCGCGGGCTTGGCGTGAGCACAGCGTGCTCGTGCGCGGCGCGGCTTGCTCGCAAGTGCGGGCGCGGGGGCGCATAGGTGGCGGCAGTGGCGGCAGCGGCAGCGGCAGCGGCAGCGGCGGCTGTGGAGGAGAGACCTCAGCGCGGCGGGCGAGCGCAAGCGCGAGCGCGGGCGAGCGCGGGCGAGCGCGTGCGAGGCGGGGCGTGGGGTGCGGAGGGGAGACGGGGCGGGCGGTGGATGCGGCGGCGGTGGCGGCTGCGGCGGCTGCGGCGGCTGCGGTGGCGAGGCCGCAACGCGGCGGGCGAGCGCGAGTGCGGGTGCGGGTGCGACGCGGTGCGCGCATTGACGCACGAGTATGACCGGCTCCGGTGCGGGGGCGGTGCAGAAGCGGCGGCAACTCTGGCGGTGGTGGCGCTTCCACTGCCGGCGCCGGCGCCGGCACCAGCTGATGCGTCGCGCGTTGGTCGACCGGAGTGGAGTGGGGCGGGGTGGATGCGGGGAGCGGGGGCGCACGCCTTCACAGAGAAGCTTCCCGCGTGCGCAGGAACGGAGGAGCGCGCAAGGAGTGGAAGCCAGCTCAGGACGGCGGTCGCGTACCTCTTCACGTAAACGCACCTTCTTCACATTAAGATAAACGGACAACCCAGGGCCCGAAATCGCACAGAGACAGACGCCGACTCGGAGGCCGCACCGGTCAGGCGCGCAGCCGGAGAGAGAGGGAGGCGCTCAATCGCCGCACGCGGCGAGCGCCTCCATCATCTCCGCCACATACGCACCATCAACCCCCGCGCCCGCGCCTGTAGCGTCCGTGCGCGCGAGGATGGCCTCGCCGGGTGGTGCGGCCGCAGCTGCGGCTATGGCAGCCTTCTTCACACAAAAACACAACCCCGGGACCCAAGACGCACAAGCACAGACAGTCGAGAAGGGAGAGACGGCAACGACAATCAAGGGTCAGCGCTGGGTCCCAGGAAGGTGCGAATGCGATGACGGCCTCTAGTGTGAGCTCTAGCTAGTGAGCTCATCGCTACTATACGCGCTCCGCTTCCTCGCCGAGCAGCGCGGGCGAGAGGTCTGACGGCTGCGAATGCTTGAATTTTCTGAATTTCTTTTTGGGGGAGATCGCCTAGACGCCGTCCTCTCCGACCGCCCTCCCCCCCCCCAGGGTCCCAGCTGCTTGCTGCGACGCCCTGCGCGCAGCTGAAGCCCAGAGGCGCCGCCGGCCCACCGAAGCCGCCGCCCCGCCGCCCCGCACCCGCCGCCCTGCCGGGCTGCCGCGCCCCGCCATCCTCGCCTCTGTCCATGCCGCTGACGTCGCCGCTGCCAGCGGCGCCTGTGCTGCCATCACATCGCTCCACCCGCACCCATTCCCACCAAGCCGCGCCCTCGCCGCGCCCTCACCGCGCCCTCGCCGCGCCCTCACCGCCGTCGCGCCGCACTGCGCCCTCACCGCCGCTAGTGCCGCCACCGCCACCGCCTCCGCCACCATCCCCCCGAAGCTTGCCCAACGCCCCCTCCCCGCATCACAGGCACGCCCCGATGTGCACCCCGATCGACTCCAGCGAGAAGGATTTCCTCTGTTTGCTCTTTCGCAGCGTCTACCCGTCTTGGAATGAGCAGCAGATAGAGCGCGGCACGGAAAGAACGCTTTTCGGAGCCGAGGTGCTTCGCAACCTCGGCGTTTCCGTCACGATCGTTGAGACGGGGCGAGAGAAGATCAACGTGGGTGCCGAAAACTTCATGCGAGGCACTTTCATTTCGTCTGAGGTGCGGCTTCGGGCGTGGGCCAAGGACTACTACCCCAAGGAGTTTCAACACAAGGCGGTGGAGGAGTTTGTTGGTGGCGTTGGTGTGTCTTCTCCATTCCCCTCCACTCGCCGATTCCTCCCGTCTCTCCGAGTTTCCACCCCCCGTCGTCAGGTCTGCACATTCACACCGCGGCGACAGAACGGACTCGCATCCTCTTCCTTCCCTCATTTGTCCACATGTCCGAGGACGCAATCGAGTCGGAGTTGAAGGAGACCCTCCAGCCGTACAAGGCCTCGCACGCGAGAATGGACGCCCTCAAATTCCGACTCACCACGGTCGCTTTGCTCGCCGAGAATGTCCCGCGAAGCCAGTTTATCGAGAAGAGGGACACGCTGCTGCGCGACTTTTTCGAGGTCGAGAAGAAGGAGTACGACTCGCCGTACACGAAGAAGGAGGAGAAACGGATCGTGTCCTTTCTGCTGAAGCGAATGGGGGAGGTGAAGCCGATGGAGTACAAGCCGGGCATCTCAGCGGAGGAGTTGGCGGGGTCGTCGTATCGCGTCATGCAGCGAATCGGGAGCAACAAGGTGGAGGACGCAAAGGAGGCGGCGACTCTCTCTCTTTCGGTACGCAACTCCCCCCCCCCACGCGCGCTTGTTTCCTCTCACCTCCGCGCGGGTTTTTATATGCAGATGCTTGGGGAGAGGAGGATGTCCTTCGACAGCGATTCACGCGAGCTTGCAGTTTTGAACGAACTACTTCGCCTCATCACTGCCGGCTTCAACCTTTCGCTCCACTACCCTGACGGCGACTTTACCGACGTCAACCTCGACGAGCACCTTTCCAACAACATTCTCCTCCTCCCTATCCACACGAGGGTCGCCTTTCGCGAGGTGCGCCGACCCTCCCCCCCAACCCCCTCCAACTCGTCTCACGTTTCTCGTTGTCGTTCAGATTATTGACGACCCGCGCGTCTCCGTCGCCATCGACCCTCCCGAAACGAGCGATTTTTGCTCGAGCGGGCTACGAATTTGGGGTTCCATTGCCGTAGCCCACCTCGACCGATCCGATGTGGTGGACAAGCAGCGCTTCATCGTGTTGCAAAGCCGACTTCGAGGAGTCGGCGGTGTCGGAGGAGTCGGAGTCGTCCGCTTCGAAGACGTCCAGAGCGTCGAGCCTACTTTGAAGAAGATTATCGACGACTATGATGAGGCGGCGAGCATGTACTACATTTTCGAGAAGGTGTCTTCTCTCTCCGCATCCGCTCCTCTCGGGTGCAGCGTCTCCGATGCCGTTCGGCGCGTTTGGGCCGGCGTCGTCGCGCTGCGCTCGGCCAGGATGGACTATGTCTTTCTTCGCGAGGAGGACGTCCTCAACTCCTTTGGAGACAACGCAGAGGTGTCGAATTCGTCGCTCTCTCTCGCAATCTGGCTATGCGATGCATCGCTTGTGGCTGCCTACGAGGAGTTCACCGCCTTTGACGGCGTCGTCGCCGAGGCGAACGGCGGCTTTGGCATCGTTCTTTTGGGGAGTGTGGCGGTCGCGAGGCGCCTCGACGTGTTGCGCATCGAGGAGAGCGCGGTCAAGAGAGAGGTGATTCGCCTCCTCGTCGAGATGCGCCGCGAGCAGGCGCAGATCAAGGAGACTGTCTCCGTCTGGGTGGCGACGCTGGAGGGGATGCAGCGGGAGGGTTCCTCCTACTCCGACATCCTTGCCTACCGGAGCAAGGCGCTCGCTGCTTGCTCTACACCGAACGCGCAAAGCTTTGATAGCGCGTTGACCACCGTATTTCCAAACTTTGTCGCTCCGGTGGACGACACGCCAAACGCGCGTGCCGAGGCGTATCTTCTCTGTCGCCTTCGCGCTACTTACTCCGAGGAGGAGCTGCAGACGAGGGTGCGACTCTCACTTGCAGGCGCCGGTTTCATGCGTGCGCTCGGCGTCATTGTGTACATGGGGTGCGAGACAAAGGACGAGGCTGCCGCACTCAAGCGCTCCACGGAGGCGGCCAAGCACTCTGTCGCTGCAAAGTTCATTCTCTCCGAATCCGCACTGCGGACTTGGGGAGACGAGAATGCTGTGGAGGCGGTGCTGTCGTCCGGCGCTTTTATCGGAGGCTTTGGTGCATATAACCCCCCCCCCCCCCCCCTCACCAAGCCGTCTCCCTTCTCTCACCACCTTTCCCGACATAGGCATCTCTATCTATGTGGAAGGCACCGGGTGTGAGTCACTGTGGATTCCGCCTTTCTCCTCCGTGTCGTCCGAGGAGAACGACGTCGCGCGACTCGGCGAGGAGCTGCGTAAGGCGCTAGCTCCGTACTTGGCGCGCTGCGCCTCGTTGCAGCAGGCCGAGGCGAGTGCACGGGCGGAGGCGGCCACTGCTGTTGCAGACGCAAAGGCGGGCGAGGCGGGCGAGGCGGCGGAGAGGGAGGCGGCAGAGGCGGAGGCGGCCAGACACAGTGCAGAGCTGCTCGCCTCGATCGAGGCGGAGGAGGCGGCTGCTGCAAAGAGGAAGGCGAAGAAGAAGAAGAAGAAGGGAAAGGGTGGCGCGATGCCTCCTGTGAACGAGGACGAGGTGGCCGTCGTCGCTGCTGCCGCTGCCGCGATGGACCTCTCTACTACACAGCAGGAGGCGGACGACGCAGGCTCGTCTGCGTCCTCCTCGGCAGCCTCGTCGTCGTTTCTTCCGCTCTCTGCTGCCTCGCACGCTACGCACGACGTGCTTCCTCGGCCGCCTGAATCGTCGATGGGCGGCGAGTCGACCTGCATTGCCTGTTTCACCAGGCCAAAGTCACATGCGGCTGTCCCATGTGGGCACATGTGTGCGTGCAAGCAGTGCTCGTCAAAGATGAGCACATGCCCTCTCTGTCGGGCTGAGGTTGTTATGTGGTTGCATGTGATGATATGAGAGGTACATGCCGAATCGCAGAAAAGTCCTCCACAACTCATCAAAGCCGGGTGGTTTGAAAGGTTGGGTTACAGACACCCACAAAAGAGTTGCTCTTTTCGCGACAGACGGCGACACCGCAGACTGCCCCCTAGACTACAAGGGCCGGTGGATGGCAACTCTGACCGCATACGAGAACCGGTCGCTCAAAGGAAGTCAGGCTCGAAGAAATAAGTGCCGATTCAATTCTATTCAAGAGACGGCACCGCTTAGAGAAAAGCGCAAGGTATGCTTCAACACTTTCTTCCGGGTGCATCGTGATGGTAGTTGGTTGCGACTTCTCACCCCCACCCAAAATTTGATTTTGAAGCAAAAAAAGTATGTCTTTATGCACAGACGTTTACAATCCCCCCAAAAGAAGCCGAGTGTGATTACTTGCATAGTGTGGGTTATCTGTCTGTTCCGTCTTGATGAGCTCTCCATCTCCGATACGGCCGCGTGTGCAGGGTCGCCAAATTGCTCAGAACGCCCAAATGCGATACCGATGGGTCCATTCTCGTCCCACAGAACGTCCTGCCACGACATACGGGGTGGTGGGTAGAGGAAAGTCCCTTCGAAACTGACTGAAAATCGCCATTGAAGGGCTGTGAACAGGGCCCTTCAATAAGCGTGAGCTCCTACACGACCACCTCATCCCAGGTGCTATCCTTGTCCCTGGGACACGCGGCCCTGTGGAAGACGATCCGCACGCGCAAGCGCCCGTTTTCGCCCTCTTCAGTGTGTGCGGGTGCTGTCACACACGGCGTCATTATTTTTTTTCCTTCTCTTCAATATATCTGACCTTGTTACAAGCTATAATGCCGGCGCCAAAGACCACCAAAGGAATTGCCCCTGGCACAGTGAGGGGCCGCTACAAACTCAAGACTGTCATTACAACCTCCAAGACGACCGGCCGTAAGGTACGGAGCAAACGCTGGGTGCTCACGGCCGCAGCTAAAGCGGCCGCTAAAAAGCGCGCAGCTGCGAAACGAAAGGCGGCACGTCGCTAGGCCCACTCCGGTGCCAGCTTGTACCGTCCATCTGCTTCCTGCATCAAGAAGCCCTCCTCAACAAGCCTTGGCATCATCGAGTCCATGTCCTGAACGGACCTGCTTTGCGATGGGTCGTTCTTGTCCCACAACATCATTGCTTTGAAGACAGCCGCGGACACCTCGTCGAGTAAAAAGTGCGTGCAGCCATTGTTTCGCTGGGCAGGCACGGGTGTCGTCATAGAGAGAGTCGCGCGCATGTCCGTGCAGCCGTTGTTCTGCTGGGCAGGCACGGTTGTGCAAGAGAGACGACTCGCAAACTGACTTCTGCCTTAGCGCGGTGCGAGCTGGCCTCTCTCACACAAACAATGGGGACTCCCGGGTTCGACTCCCTCGCGCGGCCTGTTTCGCCCGACGGCGGAGCAGGGGTGTCGCCGCGGAGCCCGGGGAGTAGGTGCCCAAGCAGACACCCAAGCACCCAAGCAGACACCCAAGCAGACACCCAAGCAGACACCCAAGCACCCAAGCAGACACCCAAGCACCCAAGCAGATACCCAAGCAGACACCCAAGCAGACACCCAAGCACCCAAGCAGATACCCAAGCAGATACCCAAGCAGACACCCAAGCAGACACCCAAGCAGTAGTGTACCCCAAGTCGCCGACTACCCCGACTTCCCCGGTGCTTGTTTTTTTCTCGCGCACTGCTCTGGTCTTCCTCGTTTTTTCCCCTCGATTCAATAAATTCAATCGATGCCCACCAGGAATCAAAATGCTGTTGCCATGCTGCATGCTCACGACATCGACGGTGCGCTGGATTACGTCCGCGGCAGTATGCGTACACCTAACGCACACACGCTGAGCGCAGCAGTCGCCAATTATGTTTGGAAGTGCCCGTGTACCGTGTACAGGCCTCGTCAGGTTTTTGCTCATGGTGCATTTAAACTCACACCACCGCAGTACAGGCTTGTTGTGCGAGTATATGGGCCAAAAGCGTCGGCGCAGTCGCTAGCCCAATCCATCAACTACATTCATTTTCTGGTGCTTAGCCCCGTGCAACAGCGGTCCGGCAGGCTGCCCCAAGGCCCCCTGGGCCTAGGGGGGGATATGGTCCACTAAAACATTGATTTTCCAAGCCCCAAACCCAAACTGAATCTCGAGGCGTTTGAGAGGCGTTTTCGTTCGGCGTCTATGATGACGGTGACAACCGGTAGATCGCTCCTCGAGGAATGGAAGCGATGGAATGTTGCACTGCTTGGGGGCCTCAGGGCCCGGAATGCTTGGCCCTGGCGATGGGGCTGCAGCCGGGCGCGCCGGACGCCGCCGCCGCGGAGGCGGCCATCGAGTCGCCGGGGGGACCCCCGAGTCGGCCATAGCAGCTTGACCTGAACATGTCCAGAAATGGTGGATAGGTACTTGGGCAGACCTGGGGCTCGGACGCGGCGCTCCCCCGTGCTCCCCGGGCGCTCGTCGCTTCCCTCGGCGATGCTCTTCCTGGCCGACCCGGTGCGCGCGGCCACAGATCACGTTCTCTCACGTTATGGCCCTCGGCGCGCTGACGCTCGCTCGCGCACCTGCGCAGGAGAAAAACTTCTGCCTGCCATCACCTCGACGGGCGAGAGGTTCGTCGAGTCCGGCAACGACCACGCCAGCGACACGTAGGTGCTCGTCATCGCCCTCCTCGTAGCCTCGAGGAGCAGCCGAACGCAGCCGATCTCGCCAGCCAAGCTCGCAGCACTCAGCGGCGTGGTGCCATCGTTCATCGCTTGGTCGGTCGCCGCGCCGACCTCGAGAAGCAGCCGGGCGCACTCAAGGTGGCCCTTGTCGCTCGCGACGAGCAGCGCTGAAGCGCCGCCACCATTCGTCGCCCCGACGCTCGCGCCGCCCTCGAGCAGCAGCCGCGCCGCCTTGGCTTGCCCGTGCCGAGCGGCCCAGGTGAGCAGCGTGTCCTGCTTCTCGGTGTCGTGCCGCGCGTCGAGCTGGGCCGCGAGCGACGTGCCGCGCGTCCCCTGCCCAGACAGGAAGCCGCGCAGCCAGGCCAGGTCGCCCCGAGCTAGGTCGGCGAGGCGGGTTGGGAGGATGGCGCCGCTCAATATGTGTCGCCAGAAAGAAGAAAATGGGCGCGGCGAACCAACGCAACAACCGGTACCAGCAGGGCGATGGCGTCTTCGGCAGCTGGACGAGGTCGGCACGTCCCACGGTGTACGACGGCACGTGCGTCACCGCGGTGCACTTTGGCATGAGGCTGCGCCCGCTCGCTGGCGCGCGGCACGTGCCTCGCCACCGACTACGCCGAGGCGACGAAAAAGAGGGCCGCGGCGTGCAAGTGCCCCAAGTGCGATGCCAACAACTTCGACTTCATGACGTGGGCGTCGAGCACGCGCGGCGGCATCGGGAGCGAGGCGGCGGCGTGGTTCACCACCAACTTCGCCGCCAAAATCGCTCGAGCATCCTCCGATAGCGAGCGATGGCGGGTCAGCGGTGAGCGCAAGCGCTTCCTGCAAGTGCACTCGGCCATCATCGCGAGGCGCAACGCTGCCATCTTCGACAACAACGCGCACCCGAAGATGGGTGGCGGGATGCCGCGGGCGCCTCCGAGTACTATGAACTGAGCTTCACCAGCCGTTTCTCTTCCTTTCCTTGCCTTCTCTTGCCGTTCGTTCTCTGTGCGCATTCCACTGCATGCGGCATCACACACGCGTCTTCTGCCGGGCGCGCAGCTGAACTCGTACCAGGTAGGCCATCGCTTTGCTGAGAGATCAGGCGCCTGAAATGGCGACAGTTTTGGGGGGGTTTTAGACGCCGTCCCGGGGCCCGTTGTTGCGAAACCTCGGATGTCCCATCGTTGCGAGGAGCGTCGCTGGCGTGTTGAGCAACGGCGCGCCGAGTACGGACGCGAAGAGCGGCGATGGCGGGGCGAGCCGCGACGGCGGTCGCGATCGCGCGATGAGCCGCGGCGGGATGAGCTGCGACGGCGCGACGAGCGTTGGCAAGGCGAGCCGCACACTGACGGGCGGCATGACGAGCGGCGCGGCTACAACGCCTCTTGGTGCAGTGGCCGCGAGCAGCGATGGCACGCTGAGCCACACGCAGCTGAGCGCTGGCGCGACGAGCCATTGCGAGGCGAGCGATGGCCGCATCATGACGGGCGGCACGTTGAGCGGCGCGGCTGCAACGACCGACCAAGCATAGGCGAGCGCGAGCGCGACAAACAGCGCCACAGGCTGCGTCGCTCGCGCTGCCGAAAAAGATCGAGGCCGCGGCGGTGGACGGCAAGGCGGGCGTGGTGCAGACGTGGCTCGCCAGGGACGGGCGGGTTGACGCGACGTGCGTGCATCGCGGTGTGAGTGGCTGTACGCTCCTGCTGATCGCCGCCGGACACGGTCACAAGCAGCTGGTCGAAGTCCTGCTGAAGCGCGGCGCGAAGGTGGATGCGCAAAACAGCTACGGCGTCACGGCGCTGACTGCCGCCGCCATCAACGGCCACGTGCAGATGGCCGAGACGCTGCTGCGGCACGGTGCGGAGATCAACCTTCAGGACAGCGGCTGCAGAACTGCGCTGATGTTCGCCGCGTGTCCATCGAGCCTGTCGGGCTGGCGTGGGTAGGTGACGATGCCATCGTTGCGCCTGCAGCCAGGGGCGTCGTGTGCTCCAAAAAAAGAAATGTGGTTCCCTTTCCTAGGGGCTGCACACCTGGCAGCCTGCATACCTGCATGCTCCCAAAACAGAAATATGTGGATTCCCTTTCCTATGGCAGGTATGTAGGCAGGCAGGTCTGAGCTGCACACCTGCTAGCCTGCATATCTGCATGCTCCAAAAAACAAATGTGTGGGTCCCTTTCCTAGGGCAGATATGCAGGCAGGCAGGCCTGAGCTGCACACCTGCCAGCCTGCATACCTGCATGCTCCCAAAACAGAAATATGTGGATTCCCTTTCCTATGGCAGGTATGCAGGCAGGCAGGTCTGAGCTGCACACCTGCTAGCCTGCATACCTGCATGCTCCAAAAGGGGCGAGCGGGCGCGGTGGTGGAAGCCGCGCTGTCGGTACCCAAACTGGCACCCCGCGTACTTGCTCGTGCCGACGGAGCCGCCCAGCATCTCCTCGATGGCGGTGTAGAGGTCGGGGTTGCTGCGCACCTTGTGGTGGCGCACGACGTCGAGCATGGCGCCGCAAAAGGCACAGCGAGGAATGCACCTCGGGATGCGCTGGCGGATTCCCCTTCCCGAAAGGCTCGAGGCCCCAGGAAGAGGTTCACTCACGACTCAGGCTTGTCGCGATGCAAGTGCCAAAGCGCTGCTGCCGAGCCTGCACCCCACACCCGTCCCCTACCCCCCCACCCCTCTTCAACCCCACCCCGAGCCCCTAACTTACGGCCTAACCGCGTGCTGGTGTTCGGCCCCCTGCACGTGCAGGCGCCCCCCCAGCTGCCGGAGCCTACACTCTCGCGTTCCATTTTCTTTTTTCGAGGCAGGCGGTCACCCTCGTTGTCCGCTTGTCCATGCGCATGCCGCTCCACAAGAATCCGACCAAGGAACCCCATCCATTAAGAGAAATTTACACTAGCCGGTGGCGGCGGCGTCAACAAGAACCTTGATCGGAGCCCACGTGATACGTAAGGTAATAATTGGAAGGCGGCTCGTGTCTAGCACACGAGTGCCACACGTTCCGAAAAATCCGGTCTTGAAGTTCGACCACGTGACCTTGGAAACCTCGTCCGCACCCGCCGCGCCAACGGAGTGCTCGCCCTGGTATGGAGTGGAAGCCGCTGCTACGATGCCGTGTTCGGTTACGAGATTGCCTCTGCAACCAGTGTTCGCCTCAAGCATAGCCTGCGTAATCCCGTAAAAAGAACTGCCGCCACTGATCACCTGACCACCGATGGAGACTTCGAAGCGCTCAATAAGCGACATGGCAGACGGCATGCGACCCTTGGTCACAGTAACCTTTCCATGAATGGCAAGCGTGTCGAGGTCAATGAGCGCGTTCTGGGGAAGGGAGAAGGCGATGGAAGAAGACGGCTTCAGACCGTCGCGCGCCGAAGACGCATCGATCTTAACGTGCTGGGCAGAGACGCCCGCCATGCTCTCGGAAATGTGACCGAGCACTTTCATTGGTCCCATACCGGCCATTGTTGCTCTCACAAACTATCACTCTCTATTATACTATTACGAAATATAAAAAATAAGCCTCATAGGCAGGAGATACAATCAACAATTTTGGTAATAACGGCCTGCATGGCAAAGTCTATGCGGTTTATTAGCCGTATAAAATGACGCCACATTTCCAGGGAACCGATATGCCATCCCCAACCGCCCGAGCGCCCGAGGTGGGCGCTCGGAGGCCGGAGGCATGAGAAGGCTGACATGCGCGGGGCGCACGAGCGGCGGAGCGAGAGCGGGCTCGCGTATGGAGTGTGTGTATGTGTGTGTGTGTGTGTGTGTGTGTGGCACGCGCGCGGATCTCCATGCGTCCGTGCGCGTGTGTGACGAGGGAGCTAGCTCGTCGGCTCGCCGGGCTCCGCCGTGTCAGCAGCGCCGCGGCGGCGCTCCCACGACGGTGGAAGCGCCTAGCCGCCTCGGGGAAGAGCTCGCGCGTGACTGCGGCGGTCACTCGCCTGAAGCATGCTGTCCGTGGACGGCGCAAGCGCGGTCGCACGGGGCTTTGCTGCACGCGTGCCACTGCGGCGGCGGCCACGTGTGTGTAACCCTGCGCATTCCGCCGCTGTCGTCGAGCTCACACAGAAGCCACTTCTTGTCCCATTCCGGAGGTGGGCATTCGCGCGCCCACTCCGGCGCATCTGCGACGGAGCGAAGCGGCAGCCCTCTGTTTCTGGCCCCGCGATTGCTCGCGGCACCGCGCGCCTTGGTGATGTTGGACGCGACGATGCGGTGAGGCACAGACACCTGAACAACCTGCTGCACGTGGCTCGCTTTGTCCAAGTTTGCCCGCAGACTGTTTGTATCGAGCGTGACCTTGGTTACCTGCGCGCGGAGGCAGACGAGAAGTGTGTGCCCGGCGGCAGCAACAGTGGCATGCTCCCGTGTCTGTGTGGGATCGGACATCCCAAGAGCGATGCCGGGGTGTAGCGTGGGGTGAAGGCTGCGAGCGGGGAGCGGGGGTGCACACCACGAACTGCAAGTGTGTGATAGTGCCCGGATCGCCGTCCCAGCTGCCATCACTCGAGGCCCACCGGCGTGGCGTGGAGTAGAGTGACTCCAACAATACGTCGACCCGGCCCTTGAGCGCCGCGTCACAACTCAGCGAGCTCGCCTTTTTCTGGCCATTGTGGTCCCCTTCCTGGTTGAAGTGGCCGCGCGCGAGAAAGCGCAGGACCGGCGAGGACGCGTTCTCGCTCGCGGCAAGTAAACGCGTCTCGCGCAGCAACTCTAGGCTCGTCGGCTTCCACGGCTTGCCCTCCTTCCAGCTCTTCAGGACGCGGCGAGAGTTGACGCAGAACGCGGGGAACCCCGACACCTGCACCGCGGGGACCGAGGCGCGCGCCATAATCAGACTCTCTGAGCGTGGCGTGGCGAGCGGCCTAAGCTTCCCAGCAAACAGGCTCACCGGGTAGGCGTCCACAGAAGCGTACCAGCGAACTGTCCCCAGAAGGATGGGGAGCAACGCGACCAAGAGGTGCATCGCGCGGTCAATCAAGGGCGGGCCTGCGGGGCCGCGGCTCTCCTTGTGCGGCTTTGGCGCAGCGGTCTCGTCGCGGTCCACGAGCGGAAGCTCGTCGTCGGCCGCGTTCGCCTCGGCAACTCCAGTTTTCGCCGCAACCGCCTCCGAGCGGCCTCGACCGCGCAGCCGCGAGTACGCCAGCACGAGCCAAGGCGCTGCCCACACGACGTAAAGATCCTGACACACGGTCGCGGGGTATCTAAGTGTCAGAGCCATCGCGCAACATGCTTCGAGGGGTCGCTGCGCGCGTGTGTGTGGGCGTTGCACGTGGCGGTGCCTGGAAGTCGTCAAAGTATATGCGATTCATCCAGATGTTCCCCTGGTGAAATAGGAAGGCGACGCAGGCGATGAGCGCGCGTGGCTTGTCGCCGGGCGCGAGGACGGCGAGCCACATCCCCACCTCCCAAGCCACTGCGCTGAACGCGGCGAGCTGGAGGAGGGCTCGGGGCAGCAAGTCAAATCGCGCAGCCGGCATGAGATAACGGCTCCCCAACAGGCAATGGGCGTGAATGGAGGGTGGCTGCGCCCACGCACAAAATTGCCACAACCACTCGGCGACGAGGCCCACGGTCTCAGTGCACAGCGGCCGCCACACCGCTGCACCCGGGTGGAGGCAGCTCTCGCCCGAGCACTTGTTCATCAATTCGTGGTGCATCAGCCACTTCAAGTGGTCAGACGTCCAGAAGACGCTGGTGAATGCAAACCAGCCAACGTCTGCATCTTCGTCCTCGTAAGCTCGGTAGCAATTGGTCAGCTTGTACAAGCCGGCAGTGGCGTATGCGCTGGCGAGCACGAGGAGCAAAGAGATGAACGGGAGCGTGTAATGGGAGGACGGCCGCGGAGCGGGGTCGGCGGTGTCAGTGGCGACGCCTCTCCCGCAGAGACGCGGCAGCAAGCCGTGGAGTCGCCACTGGTACTGATCGGAGAGCGAGAGACGGCACAGACTGAGCGCGTCCCCAGAGGGCGCGAGAGCGAAGAGGAGCAGCACGGGAGGGATTATGTGGCCGCTGTGGTGGCGGTCTGACATGTGTGAGCGCTTGAGCAGCTGGCATCTCATCTCGAGCACCGCGAGGCCGAGCAAGGCCGGCCGCGCGCACACACCAAGCAGAGCGAGCACCGCGAAGACCTTGATGGCGAGCGGCTCAAACCAAGCTACTGACATCCATTCGCGATTCCAGACTGCCAGGCCGGGCATCCAGTCGCGATGTCCTTCGGGCAGCAGGCCGGTTACGACGGTGAAGCTGCCCGCGGGACCCGGTTCGGTCAAGTGCAGCTGGTGTCCCCGTAGGTGATAGTCTTGCAAGAACAGCAGTACAAGAATGACCCGCGCCAACGCGAGGTCAAGAGCGGTTCTCCCGCTCGGCTCGGCCCGCGCAAGCAGCTTTGGCCCGAGGAGCACGGCCGAGGTGACTAACAGCCAGAGGATGGCAAAAAAGGTCTGGTGTGCAAACCGCACACTACTCAGAGAAGGCCCGCCGCCGTCGCTGTCGTCGTCGTCGTCGTCGTCGTCGTCGTCGTCGCCGCCGCCGCCGCCGCCGCCATGCTCGAGGAGATGCACAGCTTGCACTGCCACGGCGAGTGCGGCGAGGGATGAAATTGCAATTACTTGGACGTAGCGGAGCCACGCGTATAGGAGCATGCTGAATCGGAAGAGAGGACCGAGCGGCGCGGGTCGAGAACCCCCCCTATTCGACTAACGTGCAACAACCAGGCGCCGTCGCTTTTCTGTGGAAAAATATTCGCGACGATCTTCGTGCAAACTTTTTCTTTTTGAGCTGACACTCTTCGAGTTAACATTCGAGGGAACATTTGGGTAAAAGCTGGACGGTCGCGAATGGAGCTGCGCCCGGGGCGGCGGGGTCAATTTGTCCAACAATTCGATTACGATCAATATCAATAATTGGAAGTGGCATGCGACAGACGGCGAGGGCGAGGCCTTGCTCGACTCCTACGAGATTGGAAGGGACGGCGCGACCCGATGTCGGCGGGGGCTCGCCCTCGTGTTGGCGAGAGTTGCCTGATGTCGGCGGGGGCTCGCCCTCGTCTTGGCGAGAGTTGCCTGATGTCGGCGGGGGCTCGCCCTCGTCTTGGCGAGAGTTGCCTGATGTCGGCGGGGGCTCGCCCTCGTGTTGGCGAGAGTTGCCTGATGTCGGCGGGGGCTCGCCCTCGTCTTGGCGAGAGTTGCCTGATGTCGGCGGGGGCTCGCCCTCGTCTTGGCGAGAGTTGCCTGATGTCGGCGGGGGCTCGCCCTCGTGTTGGCGAGAGTTGCCTGATGTCGGCGGGGGCTCGCCCTCGTCTTGGCGAGAGTTGCCTGATGTCGGCGGGGGCTCGCCCTCGTCTTGGCGAGAGTTGCCTGATGTCGGCGGGGGCTCGCCCTCGTCTTGGCGAGAGTTGCCTGATGTCGGCGGGGGCTCGCCCTCGTCTTGGCGAGAGTTGCCTGATGTCGGCGGGGGCTCGCCCTCGTCTTGGCGAGAGTTGCCTGATG